TACTGTTTCCGGACGCTGCTTAAGAGCATAGGGAGAATTTGGTTTTTGTTTGTTTGTTTTTTGTTTCGTTTTATTTTTGAGACGGAGTTTCACTCTTGTCGCCCAGGCTGGAGTGCAAATGGCACAATCTTGGCTCACGGCAACCTCCACCTCCTGGTTCAAGAGATTCTCCCGCCTTAGCCTCCCTAGTAGCTAGGATTACAGGCATGTGCCACCACTCCTGGCCATTTTTTTTTTTTTTAGGAGAGACGGGATTAGTATTATTAGTAGAGACAGGGTTTCACCATGTTGGCCAGGCTGGTCTCAAACTCCTGACCTCAGGTGATCTGCCCACCTCAGCCTCCAAAGTGCTAGGATTACAGGCATGAGCCACCGCACCTGGCCAGGACCCGACCAGGATGATGAATACAGAAATGCTTAGGTAAGAGAAAAGTTAATTTGTCACACTCTTCCTTTCAAACTACATGAACATATTTTTGCATTATAAAGTATTCTATCTAAGTAGTTTCAAAAATGTAATTTCTTATTTCCTTCCCCGCCACCCCCTCCCCCACTGCCAATTTATGGTTCTGGATATACTCAGGAATTAGTGTAGAATGCTCAACAATCAGATATGGTTGCTGAGGAACATCTAACAATATTAAACAATTCACATACTCTGAAATTTGAAAAGAGGTAGATACAGACATAACATGAATGAAGGGTGATACCAGTTCTTTACACTGGCAACTAGGTGGACATTGAATGATACGCTTGTGAGTAATTTACTTTTATGAAAACTTTCATTAAGTAATATTTACCAAAAAACAAATAAAACTTTAGATTTATTTAAATGATTTTACTTAAAATTTTGTCACTAATTAAACTCTGTCTCTACTAAAAATACAAAAATTAGCGGTGTGGTGGCGGGCACCTGTAATCCCAGCTACTCGGGAGATTGAGACAGAAAATTGCTTGAACCAGTGAGGCGGAGGTTGTAGTGAGCTGAGATCGTGCCATTGCACTCCAGCCTGGGCGACAGAGCAAGACTGTCTGAAAAGAAAAAAAGGCCGGGTGCGGTGGCTCACACCTGTAATCCCAACACTTCAGGAGACCGAGGCAGGTGGATCACAATGTCAGGATATCAAGACCATCCTGGCCAAAATGGTGAAACCCTGTCTCTACTCAAAATATAAAAATTAGCTGGGCATGGCGGTGCGCACCTGTAGTCCCAGGTACTCGGGAGGTTGAGGCAGGAGAACTGCTTGAACCTGGGAGGCAGAGATTGTAGTGAGCTGAGATCGCGCCACTACACTCCAGCCTGGGTGACAGAGTGAGAATCTGTCTCAATAAATAAATAAATAAATATGTTGTCACTGATTATATTTTACATCTTACAAGAAAGGTGCAAAAGATTTAATGTATTGCTTTTTAATTTAATTTATATTTTTATTAAAACATTCAAACTTTCTACATTTTGAATATAATTAAATTTTGCTTTTAATCCTTTTTGATCATTATTTCTGATAGAACACAATTACATAAAAATCTTGATTAAACAGCATACACAGTAATTTTGCTGAAATGAAGGCAAATTTTCATGGGCTAAATATATAGGAAATCTATTAACTATAGAAGCCTTTATTACTCATCCAAAACCATCAGCCAATCAATAGGACACCTGGACAGGTATGATAATAAGTCAATGCAATCAGATTTTGCTGATTTTCAGCTATATAAAAACATTTTTATTTTGCCATTATAAATGTTTACCGCCAATATTGAGAGTTATAGCATATCCTAGTTAATAATGTGTTAAGTTGATTCCTAACTTTTAAATATTTATACCTACAGCAGTGAGTCCATCTGTACTCTTTCTCAGGCTCCCTAAATCTTAGGGATGGGCTTCCTGCCACCCTGCTGAAGCCAGTATTATAGTGAGGGAATACAAGAAATAAACTGGTAACCAAACAGACAAATCAGGTCATTTCAAGTAGGGATAATGGCTATGAAGAAAATACCAGCTCGGTATATCTGATGGACAGAAAGGATCCCTTGTGATTGGAGTGGAGTAAATGCCAAGATCAATCCTACCTGGGATGACCTCAATTTTTTCAAGACTTCTCATTCAGGTATCAGTTTAAATTCAAGTTTCAGCTTAAATTTAGGTCTCAGTTTAAAGGTCGCTAACAACTCAAACTAATGACACCTTCTAGTCACTCCTATTATATGGCTTTGTATTATTGTCATCAAGCATTTATCACATTTCCTGGTTGTTTCCGGTTTATCTGTTTGTGTATTGCCTCTCTGCTGGAATGCAAGTTACACAAGTGCCAAGACCTCAGTCTTTTTTTTTTTTCTTTTTTTTTTTTTGAGACTGAGTCTCGCTCTGTCCCCCAGGCTGGAATGCAGTGGCGTGATCTCGGCTCACTGCAAGCTCCGCCTCACGGGTTCACGCCATTCTCCTGCCTCAGCCTCCCGAGTAGCTGGGACTACAGGCCCGGCAACCATACCCGGCTAATTTTTTGTTGTTTCTAGTAGAGACGGGGTTTCACCGAAAGACCTCAGTCTCTTATTCACCCCTATACCCTCAGCCTGTCGTAAGTACACATGGAATGAATCAAGGTATCTCTACTCTGGATTAAAAGGGGTGGTAGGGTAGGAGAGGGAGAATATCCTTTTAAAAAACTCATTCAAATCATTCTTACAAATTTGCTTTTTTTAAGGTAGAGTCCGTGCCATGAACAGTGATTGAAATGAGCAATAGAATTGACCACTCTACTGTGAGAACTCCGCCGCCAGTCAGAACAAAAGAATGTATGGTTCAAGTGTCTCTGAAAACAATGCTTTTCCTTCTATCAAGAAATACATGTCAATCATGGCTAAAATTATGGATTTAATAATTGTAAATAGCAAAAGCCATGAAAAGGATTATTGGGTAGGAGAATTGCAGAGCTACCTATGATCTATAACTGGTATTTTAAATTCAAAAACAAGAGAAATTAAGTTTGTTCTCGTCCTCAATTGAATAATCTGTGAGACAGGCACATAATTAGAAAGTTCGAGGATGTAATAATCAGAACAAATCCAAATAATTCTCTTAAAATGGAAAAAAAATATAATTCAAGATTATTACATTTTTTAAAACCAAAGCTTTTTTAAAAAAATTACATTTATGAACATCTAACTTGTTTTCCTTTTTACTTTCCAAAGTAAAATTCGGCATGGCACTATATGCCATCACACCTGACATAGAAAGGACTGAGTCAACTCTTTGTAGCACTTTTTAAAGTTTCACTTTGATAAAGCTTTTAAAAAATATATAGGGTATTTTTTAAGCAAGAAAAGCAAATTATCTTATCGATAAAACAGACCTGGTGTTCATTTCTTATAAAGTACCAAAAGCTGATTGCTTCTGTAAAGGTAAAATTCTTGTGACACGTTAGAAAGAAAAAAAAAATTCCTTTGAGAGATCTGTTTGTAAGAATGAAATAGGTACTACCAGAATTTTCATGTTGTTCTCTGTAAGGCACTTAACACCACATGGAAAGAAGATTATTAACGATCAGTAGAAATACTAATTACTGAAGAAAATATTTAGTTGTTTTAAATGCTTTTAAAGCAAACCAACAACAAAAGACTGTAAATGGAAGAGAATCTGCATGAAGTATAGAAAACCAGGGCCTCCAGATTTGTAGCTGTGTTTCTGACATTCTCCAGGGAAGACAGTTACAGAAAGGCTTGACCTCCTGGCCCCGGAGAGCTCTTCAGAGAAGTTAACGCTTCCAGAAAAGATAGAGCATCCGATCTCACTCCGTCTGGAAGACGTCAGTTCATCCTAGTTCTAGCGCGTAGCACAGTGTTTTGGAAACAGATTAGGTATATTCACACATAAGGATACTGTCTCTTCCGCAACACTAATTTGTCGTAACGCCAAGAAGACCAGTGGTTGCAGGAATCTTCGCAAACAGTCAAGAGACAACTTTTAGAGGCGATGAAAACTTTGTGATTTTGACTGGGGAGGTACATTATACCAATACATGCATTTGCTAAAAGTCATCAAACTCTTCCACTGAAGTGGGTACAACTATTGTTTGTAAATTGTACCTCAACAGGATTCGACTTATTGATTTATTGATTTATTTATTGAGACAGTCTCACTCTGTGGAGTGCAGTGGTGCAATCTTGGCTCACTGCAACCTCCGACTCCCGGGTTCCAGCGATTCTTCCGCCTCAGCCTTCCTAATAGCTGGGATTACAGGCGCCCGCCACCACGTCCGGCTAATTCTTTTATTTTTAGTAGAGACGGGGTTTCTCTATTTTGGCCAGGCTGGTCTCGAACTCCTGACCTCAGGTGATGAGCCCGCCTCAGCTTCCCAAAGTTCTGGGATTACAGGCGTGAGCCACCGCGTCCGGCTAGGATTCGTTTTGAAAGAAAAAAATATATGCGACGTACCCCTCGGGAATGGAAACAAAGAGGAGTAACAAGATCTGCCCCAAGCTCTGGGGCGGTGGAGCCCAGCATTCATAGATCGGTTTGCACTAGCAGCAGAAGCTCATCTCACGACAAACTCGGCCTCTTCCCACTTCGTAGAGTAAGGAACAAGCTCAGAGAGATGAAATAATTTAGTGGCGTTCACCCGGTCGACAGGCGCCAGCGCCAGGATTTGAACCCAAACCACGTGACTTCACAACCCGTGGCTTTCAGCACTACGCGGTGCCGCTGGCATCTAGTAAAGGCTAGATCACTATATACTCAATGAATGATTCCCGCTACGGATCCTTAAAGCCCACAGAAGGCCCATCCAGAGACCGAAAGCTTCAGACATGAGCCGCAGCGCAGACGGATAGACTGGTGCTACGCGGGCGACGCTCAGACTTGAGCCTGAGTCCGGCAGGCTGAGAGGCGGACTGAGGGGCGGGCTGAGGGGGCGGGCTTTCGTCTCGGGAGGCGGAGCTGTCTCGTCGCATTCCCGGCAAGCTTGAACCTCTTCACTTGCCGTAGTGCGGGCAGCCGGAAGCTGCTCTACAGCGTGTTTTAGGTTTCCGGGTGAGGGTAGGGTTCCTTGGTACCATGTGGGAGCTGCTGTGAAGAGTTGTCGCATTCCAAGATATACCCAAATTCCCAGTTCCGGGTAAGGAGGAGCACAGAGCCGCTTGATGTGGCTGCGGATGGGGGCGGCATACTGAGGGAGGGTAAGAGTTTTCCGGATATCTGCGGAATCAGGTTTGAAGGAAAACCTTGGCGCGGTCGCCGGTACTGTGATTAGTTGTTAGCGCTGTTGCCATCGTCTTTGCCTCTCCGGGGTCCACAAATCTCAGGACAGCCGTGTTGTGTGTCCATGACGGCTCTGAGCGCAGAGGAAAATTGTTTGTTTATGAGGCGCCTTATAGTTTCGTAGAAACTTCTCAAAGTAGTTATGTTTTTTTAGCCTGTGTCATTAAAACTCCGCTGGCGTGAAAGATGACGTCCTTAGCCCAGCAGCTCCAGCGACTCGCCCTCCCTCAAAGTGATGCCAGCCTCTTGTCTAGAGATGAAGTTGCCTCTTTGTTGTTTGACCCTAAGGAAGCGGCCACCATCGACAGAGACACCGCCTTTGCCATAGGTGAGCCATCTTTTAACTTCGAAAAGCTCTTTGAAGCGTTTTCTGGATGTTACTTTTTTGTTTGTTTTCTCTTTTGCCTTGTCCTCTTCCTTAGCAGTTTCTAACATGTTGACGTATATTTTAAAGGAAAGAGAACATAAGAGCCAGGTGCTTGGTTCTTGAAATGTTTATGAGTAGTGGTGTCTGGATTTCACAGATGAAACGAGGTTAAGAGAGGTTAACTAATATGTCAGAAAGAAGAACAGCTAAAAGGGGATGGAGGCAGTGACTGAGAGGAGAAGTCCTCTCAGGGACTGGCCTAGTTATTGTAGGGGATAGCCAAAAAAAAAACAAACAAAAAGGCAATGTTCCCTGCCACGAAGTGCTTTCTGTTCTAGTAGATGAGATGGGATTTACTCTATATGTTGAAAACTAGAAATCAGTGTTTGGGACTGTATTATAAATTATATGTACTTAAAGAATTCAGAGACTTCTTAGGGGTAAGTAAAGCTGTAAAAGAGGGGTGGGATGAGTTTGCTTGTAAAGAATTGTTAAATAAACTGGCTGTTTTTGAAATTTAGGATGCACTGGCCTGGAAGAGTTGCTTGGAATTGATCCTTCCTTTGAGCAGTTTGAAGCACCGTTGTTCAGTCAGCTAGCAAAAACCTTGGAGCGAAGTGTTCAGACCAAAGCAGTAAACAAACAGCTGGATGAAAACATTTCATTATTCCTTATCCACTTGTCGCCTTACTTCCTGCTTAAGCCGGCACAGAAGTGTCTGGAGTGGTTGATTCACAGGTAGCTAATAGAATTACAGAAATAACTGTGGGCTAATCACTTTGGTCTTTTAAAAAATTAAGTAGTTGAGAACACTTATCAAGTGAAAGCTGAAAAATTAGGTGTATTAAGAGATTGATAGAGTGTCCGTCATGTGAGATAAACATGCTCTTCTGCCTTTAAATTCTTTTTTGTTGATAGTGAAAAGTAGAACTACTGATGATTTTGAGTAAATGGTCTAACCTCATTAGTTCTTTTTTTTTTTTCAGATAGAGTCTTGCTCTGTCACTCAGGCTGGCATACGATAGTGAAATCTTGGCTCACTGAAACCTCTGCCTCCTGGGTTCAAGCAGTTCTCCCACTTCAGCCTCCCAAGTAGCTGGGATTACAGGCACCTGCCATAATGCCGGGCTGTTTTGTGTTTTTGTAGAGATGGGGTTTCACCATGTTAGCCAGGCTGGTCTTGAACCCCTGACCTCAGGTGATCAACCAGCTTCAGCCTCCCAAAGTACTGGGATTACAGGCTTGAACCACCTCGCCCAGCCTAACCTCATTATTTCTAAGGAGCCCATGTCACTTTGCCATTACAGCTTGTTCCTGTACACTTGGGGCAATGAGTATTAAGCTTCTTTCTTGGCAAAATAACAAAATGGTTGGGGAAGCAGGCAGTGTTATCCTCTGAAATACCATTACTTGAGAAAAACAGTGGTAGCTAATGTGTTTTGAGCATGTATACACCAGGCCTTGCTAAGCACTTTACCTGCATTATCTCATTTAATTTTCACAGCATTCCTCTGGTGAGATTACTTGTATTAACCTTGTTTTACAGTTGAGAAAACTGAGGCTTAGAGGGGTTACGTTCCTTGAGTCACACAGCTAGTAAGTGGCAGAGCTAGGATACAACTGAAGTTTATTTCCAAGGTCTGATCTTTTATCTGCTTTGGGAATTGTCTCAATAAGTTTCCTAGGTTTATGTTCTCGCATATTGGTATCACATCACAGCATACACATTTTTGTTTTGTTTATTCTCCCATTATATATGTCTTTTTTTTTTTTTTTTTAGAGATAGTCTCGCACTGTCGCCCCAGCTGTAGTGCATTAGTACGATCTCAGCTCACTACAACCTCCGCCTCCCAGGTTCAAGCAATTCTCCTGCCTCAGCCTCCCAAGCAGCTGGGATTACAGGCGCCCACCACCAAGCCCAGCTAATTTTTTGTATTTTTTGTCGTAAAGGCGAGGTCTCCCCGTGTTGGCCAGGCGGGTCTCAAACTCCTGACCTCATGATCCACCCACCTCAGCCTCCCAAAGTGCTGGTGTGAGCCTCTGCAGCCCCTGCACACGACTGTCTTTTTCATTTTTATTTTTTTTGAGTGTCGGGATTTCACGCTGTCACCCAGGCTGGAGTGCAGTGGTGTGATCATGGCCCACTTGACCTCCAGGGCTCAGATGATCCTCAGATCTCAGCCACCCAAGTAGCTGGGATTGCAGACATGCACCACCATGCCCAGCTAGTTTTTTCGTTTTTTCGTTTTTTGTAGAGATAGTATCTCACTTTGTTGCCTGGGCTGGTCTGGAACTCCTGGCCTCCAGTGATCCTCCTGCCTCGTCGGCCTCCCAAAGTGCTGAGGTTACAGGCATGAGCCACCACACCCAGTCCACCTTACATATTTTAAAAGTAGATTTCTATTCCATTAATTGGAGACATGGCCTGGCCAGCATGGTAAAACCCATCTCTATGAAAAAGACAAAAATGAGCTAGGTGCAATGGTGAGCACTTGGAATTCCAGCTACTTGGGTGGCTGAGGCAGGAGAATTAACTTGAATTCAGGAGACGGATTTTGCAGTGAGCTGAGATTGCGCCACTGCACTCCAGCCTGGGTAACAGAGGGAGACTCTGTATCAAAAAAAAACACAAAAAATGGAGACATGGGGATAAACTAATTTTTTTTCAAGAAGCAAGTGAGTCATCAAGAAAACATAATTTTATCTTGGGTCTTCTGATTGTCAGAACATTAGGGCAGTCAGACAAAAAAGAATATTTAAAAATCTGTAATATTTCCATCCGTTTTCTAGCACTTAATTTTACCCCCAAATAGATCATTAATGTAAGAAATACTTATACTTTCTGCATTTGATTTTTCATTTTATTTCTTCAGATAACTTATTTATTTATTCAGCAAATACTAAGTTCAGAACACAGGTAAGTACATTGCTCTTGATTACTGTTTTGAAATAAATGCCGTAATAAAGGATTAAGCACAGTTTTTGGATGTAGTTCTGCCTGGAATAGTTGAAGAAAGCTTCATGGTAAAGGTAATGGCTTGGATAGCGCTAAAATTGTATGTCAAACTAATAGGCTGGGTTCAGTGGCTCACGCCTGTATTCCCAGCACTTTGGGAGGCTGAGATGGGTGGATTGCCTGAGCTCAGGAGTTGGAGACCAGCCTGGGCAACATGGTGAAACCCCATCTCTACTAAAGTAAAAAAAAAAAAAAAATTAGCTGGGCGTGGTGGTGTACGCTTGTAGTCCCAGCTACTTGGGAGGCTGAGGCAGGAGAATCACTTGAACTTGGGAGGTGGAGGTTGCAGTGAGCTGGGATTGTCGCGCTGCACTCTAGCCTGGGCAACAGCAAGACTGCCTCTCGAAAAAAAAAAAAATGGTTGAGAGACTAGTCTGGGCAACATAGGGAGACTTGGTCTCTATATGGCAATGAAAAATTAGCCAGCTGCGATGGTGCTCACCTGTGGTCCGAGCTCCTCAGGAGACCTAGGTGGGAGGATCACTTGAATCTGGGAGGTCAAGGCTGCAGTGAGCCATGATCGTGCTCCAGCCTGGGTGGCAGAGCAAGACTCTATTTCAAAAAAATAAATGAAAATTTTAAAGCTGAGAGAAAATGGGATGTAGATTTTGATGTTGAATATTCAAAGATATTGCATGGGATTGGCTGGACCATGTTGAGGGATATGCGAATGCACAATTGAGGACTTTTTAAATGCTCTGTGTCTTGCTTATGATTGTGTGATTTTCACTGCTACTCATTCTAGGTTGTTTTAGCTCATTAATATACAGTTTGAGCATGTGAGGAAATAGGTGCTTATTATTAAGTTTTGTATCCAGTTGGACTGTTTGCTTTTTTTCCCCCAGGTTCCATATACATCTCTATAATCAAGATAGCCTCATTGCTTGTGTTCTGCCATACCATGAGACAAGAATATTTGTGCGAGTCATACAGCTTCTAAAAATTAATAATTCAAAGCACAAATGGTTCTGGTTGTTGCCAGTTAAGGTACGATTGCTGAATGACACATGTCTGTAATCATTACAAATCTTGATTAAGGGATTTAATTAGGAAAAAATAAGTCAGTGCTCCTGGGGATAGTCCAGATAATTACCTCCATCATTTTTATTTCCTAACTTCCAATTGAAACTATTATTAATGTTCATAATATTTAGCTTTTATTTAGTATCTGACATCAGGCTAGGCAATGTACATTATATTATCTTGGATTATCACAAAACTTCATTTTTACAGATGAGGACAGGCTGCTTGCCAGAGTTCACATAACTAAAAAGTGGCAGAGTTGAGATTTGAACCCCAGTCTGATTCCAGAGCCTGTGCCTTTCTGTTGTACCATGCTGTTTGGCATTTTAAATTTTGGAACTGAGAACTTAAAAGTTGAAGACGAACAAAGGCAGAAAATACTTACAAAAATGAAAAGGATAAAGATAACTTCAGGGGCTTCAATAATTTATTAAAGTTGTAAGGAAGATGCTAGTAATTAATTTACAGATGAATAAAAGGATGCTTGTGTAACAGGAAGGGTCTGGGTAAGAAAAGACAGCATGATACTGTAGGCAAACCAACTGACTAACCGTTAGCACTTTGCAGCATATGGGAGGAAAGTAGACGTATGTTGTTAGCAGGAACTTTACTGCATATTGAGCATGGTGATCCAGGGTAGGAGAGGAGGCACATTGGGATGAGAGTAAGCTAACAGATCATGGGGCTGTGCACATTTGGCTGATGATGGTAGTGGGGTCAGTGTTCAGAATTAGTAAAACAGGAGGAATGAGGACTCTTTAATTAGAAGGATAATTTAAGAATCTGAATGTAAAGCACTTTAAAGAACGTTGGAGAAGGCCAGCCTTTGATAAAGCTCTTAAACTGCTTTTCACAACATTCACTCTGCCCATAGCATCAAAATTATTCTTCCTCTGATCTACCCTTGGACCTTGCTGCTCCCTAGGCATTCTTATTCCAGGTATCCAAACTCCACTCACCTACTAAAGTTCACTTAAAATTCTCCTTTCACTTAATATTTATTGAGCATCTATTACATACCATGTACAATGCTAGATGGTGGGAATAGTGGTATAAGTTGTCCATGTTCCTCGTCTATTTCTGTTCTTAGCATTATTGTAAAGCAATGACAGAAGCATATCATATTGGCTCAGAAACCATATCGAACCAGTAAAATTACTGAGAATCTAGAGCATCCAGATTATGATAAATACCTTTCAAAATGTGACATATGATAAGCAAACATTTTTCACTAAATACCTCTGCCCTCTTTGCTGACCTTCTCTTTTGAATTTCTAAGTTTACATGATTTTCTGTGTTAATTTCATCACCAACACCAGTTATAAGGAGCGATTATATTTTTAATTTATGAATTGGAGCAGTGTGAAGACATTACTACGGTACTTTTAAATAAGGATCAGTTGATGAATGTCGCTAAGAGTTTGTTCTTTCTGTCAATAACAGCAATCTGGAGTGCCCTTAGCTAAAGGAACTTTGATTACCCACTGCTACAAAGATCTTGGATTCATGGATTTCATTTGTAGTTTGGTGACAAAATCTGTGAAGGTGAGCGATCTTGTTTCATGAGTATATAATTTTATGAAAAGATTGCCTGCTTTGAATGAAGAAAACATACTAAAGCATACCCTAATAACAGTAGTACTTTGGATAAATTTATTTTGTTAAATGGTCTGGTGTTTTGAAGCAGGAGTAGTTTGAGAGTCCGTGGTGTTTCTTTTGGTTTTTTTTTTTTTAAAGAATCAATCTTTTATCACCAAAGGTGTTTTTCTACAAAAATAAATGCCTATTCCTTGCCAGATTCTAGTTACAGTGACTATTCGAAGAGGCTTCTAGAAATGTCAGGAATATTCAACCTGGGAAAGCTGTTTAAAAAATTACAAGGCCAGGCACGGTGGCTCACGCCTGTAATCCCAGCACTTTGGGAGGCCGAGGCAGGCAGATCCCTTGACGTCAGGAGTTTGAGACCAGCCTGGCCAACCAACATGGTGAAACACCGTCTCTACTAAAAATACAAAAATAAACTGAGCATGGTGGCACATGCCTGTAATCCCGGCTATTCAGGAGGCTGAGGCAGGAGAATTGCTTGAACCTGGGAGGTGGAGGTTGCAGTGAGCCAAGATTGTGCCACTGTACTGCAATCTGGGTGACAGGGCGAGACTCCTTCTCAAACAAAAATTTAAAAAATTAAAATGTTAGGAATATCATTAGGCAGTTAATTCTTGTCACATTGTGTAGTGTATTTATTCATTGTTGCATATGGTAGTTCAGGAGAACTGTAAATATTTATTTGGCCTTTCACTTTTGTTTTGTTTTTTTTTTTTGGAGACATGGTCTTGCTCTGTCGCCCAGGCTAGAGTACAGTGGTGCCATCATAGTTCACTGAAGTCTCAGCCTCGAACTCCTGGCCTCAAGCAATCCTTCTTCCTCCCTTTCACTGTTAAATGTGTTTTGTTTGTGTTCCTTATTTCAGGTTTTTGCTGAGTCCCCGGGCAGCTCAGCTCAGTTGAGGGTGCTCTTGGCTTTCTATGCTTCTACCATAGTGTCGGCGCTGGTAGCTGCAGAGGATGTATCAGACAATATCATCGCCAAACTATTTCCCTATATCCAAAAGGTTGGCACTGCTGATGTGTTAAGTAGATTATTTTGTACTTAAAGGAATTTTCTTGCTTTCGAAAGTTTTTTTAGATTTAAGTGTTTTTAAATGGACAGTTTATTTCAGATGGTTGATGAGATTTAGCCTTTAGGTTGAAAATATGACACTTTTTTATTGGAAACTCACCAGACTGGGACCTTAATCAGGACTCTTAAGAATAAACATTGGCTGTCTGGCCCTGACGCTATCTCCTAGATTGATTTCCATAGCAGTCTTTGTACCTCACTGGAAGAAGGATGGAGCAGACAGTCTCTTCGGGGCGTAAGCAGCCTCTCAGCATTCTTTGTGCACTGGCTCCTGCCTCTCAGCGTTTCTCCTTCCCAAATGCCTTGTTGCCTGCTGCCTTCCCAGGTGCCCCATGGAGGTACTGCTTTCACTTCCCACAGTGTCCCAACTTGTTATCTTTCATCAGACTTGTCTCTTCCATTAGTGATCTGATTGAGGTCTCCCTCCCATAAGTAGGATTTTATGTATAAAAGAAGAGCTTACTGGCTCCTGTTAGGACATGCGGTAGATGTTTGAGTTGGGAAATTTTCTGAGATCCTTTTTCTCGTCCAACAGACTTATCTCTGTATCCACTTTGAAAAAGGGGTCAGCTCCTTTATTGTTTACGTCTGAAGAGTGATTGCTTATGCATTAGGTTGTATTAATCTCTATGACGTTTCTAATTTGTCAGATTAACATTTAAAGTAGCAGAAAATAATATGGTTTATCATTTTTCCTTATATTTAAAAAATATTTAGGGATTGAAATCATCTTTACCAGATTACAGAGCTGCAACATACATGATAATATGTCAAATTTCTGTGAAAGTGACCATGGAAGATACCTTTGTGAATTCATTGGCATCACAGATCATCAAAACATTGACCAAGATTCCCTCTTTGATCAAGGATGGATTAAGTTGCTTGATAGTGCTCCTGCAAAGACAGCAGCCAGAGAGCCTTGGGAAAAAGTACGTACCGTTGAATTGAGAAATGGTGCTAGTCAGAGGTGAATAAAATTATTTTGAATAATTTTTTTTCTAAGATAAGTGATTATGTATATTTGTTTATATTGTCACTTACTGTCTAACTTATAAAGTCAAAAGGATATGTACTTTTGCTTCTTCAAAGGCCATTCCCTCACTTATGTAGTGTTCCCGATCTTATTACAATACTTCATGGGATTTCTGAAACTTATGATGTCAGTCCTCTTCTGCGTTACATGCTTCCCCATCTGGTTGTCTCCATCATTCATCATGTTACAGGTATGTGGTTTTATATTTTTTGTCCAGAGATTTTCTTAGATTTCATCTTAAAATAGTAACTATATCCTGGTTAACGGCTTTAAAATATTTAAAATTTCTGTTTTCCAGTTGTTCTTGTGTAACTTATCTATTTCTTAAGTGAGAAACATTTGGGGTGGGGAGCAGGTTGGTTGAAGAGAGATCCTTGTTAAATGAGTAATTTCTTAGAATCCAATTTTCTTTTTTTTAGATCTGTGTTCTTAAACACTTAAATAGTCTCTTCTATTTAGTCTCTTCATTACTGAGTAAACCTTTGCCCTCTCATTTAGGTATTTAATGAACTTTAGTGATTCATTTACAGTGAATATCTCATCCAGTTGCCAAAAAAGTCTTTTCCCTACAGTAATTAAAAATATAAGACCAAGAAAATTTTTATACATAAAAATCCAAATTATGAAACAAAGCAAAAAATAATAATTAGAGGGCCAGGTGGCTCAAACCTATAATCCTAGCACTTTGAGAAACTGAGACGGGCAGATCATGGCAAAACCCTGTCTCTACAAAAATGTACAAAAATTAGCCGGGCATAGTGACATGCAGCTGTGGTCCCAGCTGCTCGGGAGACTGAGGTGGGAGATCACCTGAGCCCAGGGAGTTCGAGGCTACAGGGAGCTGTGTTTGCGCCACTGCAGTTCAGCCTGGGCGACAGAGCGAGACTCTGTCTCAAAAATAATAGTAATTATAATTAGAAATTGATTGTTTGCGTTACGTCTTTTAATAAATACGAAAAGACTAGGAAGAAACACTAGGTTCTGTTGCTACTTGGAGAATCCTAAGAAAGACTTCTCTAAACTTATGTTAGTCTACTGGAAAATGAGATTTTCATAACCAATCTTGGTTTAAACATGCATTTTAGAAAAGTGACTAGCCAAATGAAAATGTATTCTTCCTATTCTGAAGGTAATGAGTAATGTCCCATTCTTTGAAAGCAAGGGCTAAGATCAGATTCATACATTTATTATAAATCTGAAATAGATGACAACTCTTGGTTCAGTAAGGGGGTAGGTACTGAGATGAAAGTCTAGCGTGTTTTCAGAGATAGTTGTTTGGAACATCACAACTAATTTGTAATGTTACCTGGGGAAAGATTAATTTTGGACTTTTGTTTTATTATTGTTATAAGCGTGATAGTACTTGTTAAAAATAGAGAATTTCAGATAAAGGAAAAATGAAGGTGATCTATACAAAAAAGCTTTGAAAAATGACTAAATAAGTAGAATGCACTTCTGGAAATAGATAAAAAAGCTGGATATCAGTGTGTGTGTTTTATTCTGAGAAAGTTTTTCTGCTATAAGTGAATTTAATAATGTTAGCTTGCAAAGTAAATTTTTCCCAACACAATTTTAATTTCTACATATTAAGGAGAAGAAACTGAAGGAATGGATGGTCAAATCTACAAGAGACACTTAGAAGCTATACTTACAAAAATATCACTGAAGAACAACTTAGACCATTTGTTGGCTAGGTAAGCTATTATTTTTGACATGCTTTTGATTTACATTTTTGTGACTCAGTATTATTTTCCAGATTGGTTAGAAATTTCCCAGTATTCCTTTTTAATGTATATCTTGTTTTGTCTGTATCATTTCGTTAACTATAAGTACTTAATCCAGTAACTGGCAGCATTAAAAGCAAAAGTAATTTTTCTTGCATACCTTTAGTGCTTATAGATGAAAATGGAAAGTTAGTGGTTAAGCTAAATTTGGGTAATAACTAAACGCAGTTTTTGGCCATTTGAAGTTTTCTATTAGTAAATGGACCGTAATATCTGAAATAACACATCACAATTGAAACGCCGTAAATGTCATTTAGAAACAATATTGAAGGTAGGCATAGAGTAAGGATTATTTCATTGCGCTAAAGATAATTCAGTCTTTTTTTTTTTTTCTTAATGGGCAACTTGATACAGTGAAAAGATGTAGGCGTTGCAGTCAGACATAGGTGTGATTCTGCCCTTACCACTTCCAGGACTATAGTAAGTTTTGGAGGTGAGACTGGATGTGGCTTTGCCATTTTGTAGCATCAAGAGGGTACCTGTGTGTTGGTGTGCATCGTTCATGCCCCTTTGCTCAGAGGGTTGGTTTGTGAATTAAAGGAGAGTATACACATGTAGTAATGTTGAGAACATAGGCTCTAGAATCAGACTGGGGCTTAAAATGTGAAACTGCACTCTGTGGCACAGAAGAGCTCACTGAGTGTTGCCTTTTGTTGCTGTTCTCGTGAGCAAATTGGAAGACTTATACCCTGGTTTCTTTTCCTTTTTTTTTTTTTCTTTTGAGATGGAGTTTTGCTCTTATTGCCCAGGCTGGAGTGCAGTGGTGCCATCTCAGCTCACTGCAACCTCTGCCTCCCAGGTTCAAGCGATTTGCCTGCCTCAGCCTCACTAGTAGCTGGGATTACAGGCATGTGCCACCACACCTGGCTAATTTTGTGTTTTTAGTAGAGACGAGATTTCTCCTTATTGGTCAGGCTGATCTCAAACTCCTGACCTCAGGTGATCCACCTGCCTTGGCCTCCCAAAGTACTGGGATTACAGGCGTGAGCCACCACAATTTCAAATAGCAATATAGTCTTGCTGTGTTGTCCAGACAGGTCTCGAACTCCTGACCTTAAGCAGTCCTCCTGCCCTGGCCTCTGAAAGTGCGGAGATTGTAATGCCAGTGGTGTGAACCACTACACCAGACCCCTAGTTTCTTTATCTGTAAAATAAGTATTAAATTATACCTTGTATAAGTATAACAATTAGAGATAATATTTCTAAAGCACTTAGAATATAGTAGGTACTCAATAAATAGTAACTCTTATGTATGCTGACATTTCTGTGTGTGTGTGTTTTTTTTCACAGCCTTCTATTTGAAGAGTATATTTCATATAGTTCACAGGAAGAAATGGATTCTAATAAAGTGTCTTTGCTTAATGAACAATTTCTTCCACTCATTAGGCTTTTAGAAAGCAAGTAAGTCATGCGTGTATGTTTATGCTCTTCTAAAGTACTTCCTGTTCTATAAAGATATGATTCACAAGTCACATCTTAATATACTGAATTGTACAGAGATTGTCCTTTTTTAAATTTTTTCTTCAAGAAGGGTCGAGTATCGGAATTAAAACTATTTGAAATATAAGAGGAAATAGTGACTGTGTGGGGGCTATGGAGAGTATAATTTTTTATAGAGAGACTGTTTTGTTATTGGAGTAGTTATAGTAACAAATTTGACCAATATCATTTGGTTTTACATACAGCATTTGTTAAAATTCAAGTCGTAGTCTCAGTAATTTTTAAAATTTTATGTCTTTCCATTATATGTGTATGGTGTATGAGATTAATAAATTTATTAAGAGTAATGAATTCACTCTTTAATTGCTTCCCAGATACCCCAGAACGTTAGATGTTGTATTAGAGGAGCACTTAAAGGAAATTGCAGATCTGAAGAAACAAGAGCTTTTTCATCGGTTTGTTTCTCTTTCAACAAGTGGAGGAAAGTATCAGGTATGTTGTTCTCCAAGGGAATTACGACAATTTGGGGTATATTTGTATGGTTATGTGAAGAGATCCAGAAGGAAACTTGCCAGTTTTTTCCATGGTGTGGAAAATTTTACAGAGATGACCTTATATAGTTTGCCTGGTTGCCTGAAGTATGGCTCTGAGGCAGGAATAGAATAATTGGAGAAAGGTACAATAATTTGTACATAACCATGAACGTGATACTTATTTCAGGAAAAGTATTGTTGGAGAATTTTGTACGGGATATTCATTAAGAATCATCAGAGGACGGCCTCGTAGGTTTCTGGCGTCCTCTGTCTTTCAGCTAGGTCTATGCGTTCCAGTGTACCAGCCACAAATGGCTATTTATAGTATTGATTAGCAAGGGGGAGATGGGTTCTATTTCATGATCACATTAAAACTTGAGAAATTTTCTGGTGATTCAAGCCTAAAGCGTTATACTAGAAGTTAGACATTTAAGCAGAAGTTCTTTAATTAGCCTTAAAAACATAATTATGAAGAAAAATATGATTGTTTTAGTATTTCTCTTCCATAATTAGACTTTCATCTTTGATGGTGTTGCATTTCCGAATCAGGTTGATGGGTAGACTTCCTTTTTTGTCTAATTGCATAGGTGAACTAAGGTGTCACTAATTTGAGTGTCACTATTTGTTATAGCATGTAGATGAATTGCATTCTGTTTTCTGGGAGGTGCTGAAACAGTGATTTATCTTAGGTACTCTTTACTTTGGAATCAGATATGCATACAAAATACAAAATTACTTTGTAGAATTACTTCACCAAATTAAACCTACACATAGACACAAGTATACGTGAAATCATACCACTAACAATACAAATTTTTTTCATCTGTTGCAACTCATATAATAATGTTCTAGAAACAAAGATTTTGCGTTTTTTTGTTTGTTTTCTGTAGTTAGATGGTTGTTATTGAAAACGTTGGACAGTTTGGGGTGATTTTCTTTGGGTTTTATTCTTGATCGTAGACTGTTCAGATTAAGTGAAATAATTTGATAATTACGTTGAACCCTGTAGTTTTTAGCAGATTCTGATACTTCTTTGATGCTCAGCCTGAATCATCCACTTGCTCCTGTGAGACTTCTGGCCATTAATCATTTGAAAAAGATCATGAAAACATCAAAGGTTTGTTTCAGATTGCTTTTGTGTATGACTTTTTTTTTTTTTTCTTAATGATGAGCAGTGTAATTCTGAATAAGAAATTGGAGTTACTACCTAGAATTGATAGTGGATAATTGTACAGATGAGCTGAATAAACCTCATGAGAGTACTTACTTCAGACTAATATTTAGGACTGTGTGTGCCAATAGTCCCCATTTTGACAATAACCTAATAACTGCTTTTATGTTTCCACATTGACGGTTATTTGTTTATCTTTAGTGTTTTTCAAACTAGAGTTTGTAGATTAATTCACATAGGTTCATTAACTATCTGAGAATTTTTTTAGTTTTGAAATTTGATTTTGGGCTGGTCACAGCAGCTCATGCCTATAATCCCAACACTCTGTGAGAAGGATCACTTGAGCCCAAACGTTTGAGACCAACCTGGGCAACAAAGGGATACCCCCTTCTCTATAGGAAAATAAAAAAAATAAAAAATTAGCCAAGTTTGGTGGCACACGCTTGTGGTCGCAGCTACTTGAGAGGCTGAGGTAGGAGGATCTCTTGGGCGTGAGGTTGAGGCTGCAGTAAGCCACGATCATGCCACTGCTCTCCACCCTGGGTGACAGGGCAAGACCCTGTTTAAAGAAAAGCCAAGAAATTTGATTTTGATAGTCTTAATTTTAGATGAAGGCATATTTTGGGACATTTGGATGATAACTTTTGAACACTGTTCCGTGATTTGGGTACCTGCAGTTTCATTTGTCTTTAAAATGTAAGTGGCTTCAAATATGTATTGAGGCTGACTTTATTTGTAAATAATTTGGTCTAATTTGCATTTATACCAAAAGGCATTGGTATGAAGACTTGATAGTAATACAAATAGAATAGTAGTTTCCAAACTTTAGTCATTCAAGCAGTCCTTTTACAATTTTTGCTAAATTATAAATTGCCACTGATAGTAGTATTGTTTTCTCAAAATTTTTCATTTCAGATGGACTCATTATTTTTTTACATAGCCTTCAGATTGTGGGTGTGAGGTGCTAATTGTATATACATTTTACTACAGTTACTGTAATTAAAATAGGAATGCTCCATCTGTGTCATGTCTAAAATTATGCACCATGATTTGCATATTTGAGAAATTTCTGGAATAGAGTAAAGTGGTAACAGAGTTTAGTTTCCATGTAGCACATGGCAGTGTAAACATGCCGAACTCTCAAACTTGTGTCACAGCAATTATAGCCAGGTTCGTATTACAAGTAAAATCCTATGATCAGTAAAATTTAATTTCAGCTAATTACAATTAATCACACTAAATTCATCTTCATTTGAATTGTATTGGTTTTATAGAGTTTTTAGTATTTCCCTTGTAGATTAAAAAAAATTTTTTGTTTTGTGTTACCTGTATTTTAAGAAGTTATACTTAAAGTTGATATGTAAACAATAAACAATTTAAACAACATTTAGATCTTTGAGAAAGTTTCTTTAAAAGTGGCTGATGTAATATTCAGGTTTAAGAAACGTTGCTTTATTTGATCTGGCATGAATTCTGCTTTTATAAACTGCCAATAGGTTTATTTTGTTGATGTGTTAAATAATTTCATTGAATAATAGTCTTTGTTGTGATAGGAGGATTTTAGTGATAAGAAATTCTTCTGGAATAAAGGGGTAGTCCTGGAATCTTCTGTTTCTGCAGTTGTTCTCATCCTTCCTTCTTTTACTCTTACTGCCTTTCTCTCCCGTTCTCTGGATTTGGTTAGCTGCATACATTCAGTTTACAGGCTTGAGTATTGTAATTGCAGTTGATGTCTTCCTTTGCATACCATGTTTCATTTTCTTTTCTCCATCCATGACAGGACATAGGTTTTATTCTAAACTCCAGGTTCAGATATATGGCTGCTTATTAGCTCTTGAGGATTTTTTTTTTTAAGTGATGGGGTCTTGCTATGTTATCGAGGCTGGCCTCAAACTCCTGGGTTTAAGCAGTCCTCCCACCTCAGCCTCCAGAGTAGCTGGGATTATAGACATGCACCACTGTGCCTGAATAACTTAATCTTTGTGAATTCTATGAATTTTCATTTTTCTCCCAACAGAGTGACCTATGTTTTTTATATTATTTAGTTGCCTGCCACATACTGATAGGGATATATTCAGGTTGGTTAGCAGGCTTATTTTTTTTCTCTGTGAATGAATAGACATTGTTTTCTTTTATTCATTATGTTTGAAAAATGATCTCTATTTTTGGCAGACTGGCCTTGTAGTACATGTCCTTATCCTTGTAAAAATTTAGATAATACTAGCTAACTTCTAACAGTACTTATGTGTAAAGCACTCTGCTACAGACTGACATGTGTTTTTTAATCTTCTAACAACCCTTGGAGGTAGGTATTATTATTAAGAAACCTGTTTAAAGGTGGGATTAGTGAGATCCAGAAAGGTTAAGTGACTTGACTAAAGTCACACAGCTAGTAAGTGGTAGAGCTCGGATTTAAATTAGACATTCTTATTCTTTAGTCTATACCCTGTCAATATCTGGGCTCTCACTTTAGTAAGATGAACTCCTTAATTACAAAAACTATATTTGGAGTATATCATATTTACTATATTTACTGTATTTTCACCGAAAACTTGAAAAAAAATTATACCAAACAATTATTAATCTCGAAAGGCCCTTAGCGATTACCTAGTTCTAGTGTGTTTCAGTCCTCATCCAGAGCAGAGCCTGTGTTAGACTGTTATTCTGGAGTGTTTTTCACAAAACCATACTTCCTTTCTAGTGCAAAGCCTTAAGAGATTTTTAGCAACAGCTAAATTAATTTTTTTTCTTTTATTGCTCAGGAGGGTGTTGATGAGTCTTTCATAAAAGAAGCTGTTTTAGCCCGATTAGATGATGATAATATAGATGTTGTTTTGTCGGCTGTAAGTGCTTTTGAGGTGAGTGAATTTGTCATTTGTTGAGATAAACAATTTTGTAAATTTTCTTGCCCTTCTCACGTGATTCTCTGCTGGAGACTAGAGTATTTTTGGAAATTATTTTTCCATGGGAAATTTGTTCTCTGGAGAGCACCAACTTAAGTCTGGTTAGGAGAAACTCATAGGAATTCACAATGTAATATATTAAATATATATGGAAGTTGTTCAAACAGGAAATGTTTTGTGAATTTTTATATTGCTTTTAACATATTTTTATCAATAGCAAATACCTTGGGACCATTGTCTTACGAATGCCACTTTTGAGAAATACGTCTTAAAACTTTTAAGTTGTACTAGGATTCCTGGGAGAAATTCCTTATAATTCATTCTTTTTAAAATTTGCATTTAAAAAACACCATGTATGTTTGAAGCAAGTACAAATCTACTGATGGATATTTTTTCCCTTTAGATTTTCAAAGAACATTTCACTGCAGAAGTGACGATTTCAAATCTTCTGAATCTCTTTCAAAGAGCGGAACTTTCAAAGAATAGAGAATGGTATGTATTCATTTCTCCTCATACTATTTTGAATTGATTAAGTTCTTATATCAGATTCTTTCTATTTCTTCTTTTTTTTTTTTTTAAGGCTTTGATTACATGACCCCTTTATTGTGGTAGTAGAACAGATCTTAATGTAATACTTTTTTTCATTATACAGTTAATTAATTTGTGTTTGTGTGTGTTCATTATACTATTCTCTGTGTTTGGAATTTCTCTTAAAAAAATGCAAAAGGAAATACATAATGGATGATACTGAATTCTGGGAAGTAAGATGGGAAGGACTTTCTAATTTTCTACTTTATAATTAAAAACATACCAATGTATTAAACAAATTAAAAAATAAGTTCAGAGACACAAGATACCATCTGTGGTAAGTTTTTAATGAGCTCTGTTTATTTCATTTTTGGCACCAAAGCTTTTTGCAAGAAAAAGTAAGTAAGCTCCATAGAGGATGACAGTGTGTCTTACGTGTTTTTGTGTCTATCATATGGGTAGATATCTATCATGTAGGATGTGCTTGGTTCATTTTCTTTGAATGCCTGAGTGAATCTGATTTCCAGTAGAGTTGAGACATCTGGTGTGATATGTCTTATGTTATAGTTAACCTCTAGTGATTTCTCTAAGAAAAATTATTATTTTTTTTAAGATTAGACAGGATGAACAAATTAAAAGTATTGTTGGCCAGGCACAGTGGCTCATGCCTATAATCCCCGTGCTTGTACAAGAAATAAATAAATAAAAATATTGTCACAGATAACTCTATTATTGACATGGATTTTAAGTGGTGTCTTAGTGTGTCTGAATAATAGTTTTGGTCAGGAGACCAGGATATTGTCAGTTCAGCTGGAGTAATGTAATGATGAATTTTTGCCCAGTTGAAGCCTTCCAATGTGTCTTTCAACCAAATGTGCTTGCATGTCTTTTAGGTACAAGGTACTTAAGATAGCAACTGACATATTAATTAAAGAAGAGATACTAAGTGAAAATGATCGGTTGTCAAATCAGGTGGTTGTATGTTTGCTGCCATTTATGGTTATCAATAATGATGACATGGAATCTGCTGAGATGAAAATTGCTATATATTTATCAAAATCAGGAATCTGCTCTCTGCACCCTCTATTAAGAGGCTGGGAAGAAGGTAAAAAATTTAGTTATTTTTTAGAAAAAGTAAACAAATAGTACAAAAGAAAACAAAGAAAATTTAAAATTTATTGTTTGTCATGTTATATGCCAGTAAGGTCTTTTAAAAGTTTTGCCAAGATAAAAAGTATACAGTGAGAAGGAAGCCAATTCATAGATAGACAAATTCAGAATTGGATATAAGGAAAAATAAAAAGCAAGCCTTACATAAAAAATAGTAAACTGTTTGCCTGAATTCTTCATATGATTCTTTGATGTTGGTGACATAAAAGCTCTCTGCATTCAATTTTACTTTACAGCTCTTGAAAATGTGATTAAAAGCACAAAGCCAGGAAAACTAACTGGCGTAGCAAATCAGAAGATGATTGAGTTGTTAGCTGATAATATAAATTTAGGAGATCCTTCTTTAATGTTAAAGATGGTAAGTATGCCGTGAAAGTCCAACCCCTGGATTTCTTTCTCATACTCTTATTAAATTCGCAGCTTTTGCTTTACTAGATTTTTCTTCAAAAAAAATTTTTTTTTCATTCTTGAGTACTTGGTTTTACTTTAAACATTACAGTGTTGTTTAATAAATTCTGTGCAATGTTTGAAATCTTTAACATTTTATATATTTGTTCAATGTGGATCCATATCACACCCATAAGAAAATATCCTTTTGACCATCATTTTCTCTCATTCCCTTTTAAAATATTAGTATTTTTGTTGTTGTTAAAATAGCAAAATATAATCCCAAAGAGGAGAGAATTATCTTTGCCTTAGTAAATAAACCTTTGTAAAGGTATTAGATGTGTGATTTAAATACATTAACCAGTTGGCAAGTGCAATTATGTTCATTACAATTTCTGACATTATTCTTGTAATTACTTAGAAATCAGTGCTTAGTACTTTATAAAGGCTTTCTATTTGTCATCTCACTTTAAATGTAAAACACAATACCTAGATAGACCTGAGTTGGAAAAATTGTTTTATGAAAGTCAGGAGCAACTAGTGATAGAGTGTGTTTATTTTTCAAGGTGGAGGATTTAATAAGCCTGGGTGAGGAGGAGTCCGTTAACCAGAAGCAGAAAGTAACGTTTCACGTGGTCATGTCTGTGCTCGTCTCTTGTTGTTCATCTTTAAAAGAAACCCACTTTCCATTTGCGATAAGAGTCTTCAGTTTGTTGCAGAAAAAAATAAAGAAGCTTGAAAGTGTCATTACTGCAGTGGTAAGGAAAGCAGAATCTCCAAAAAGTGGAATGTTGAGTAAAGCAACAGCCTGGCCCATTAGTCACAGCCAAACTGGAAATCAGAGGCGAGATGTTGAGTTTGTGGATACTGGCTGGATGAAATGTGAAGCAGTCTTGGGTAGAAGTGATAGTCAACTAGGCACTCCCTTGCTTTTGCAGAAAGTTTAGTTGAATTATAAAATTTCAGGGTTGCAATATTTTGTATCTGATGCCTGACTCTCCTCTCTTTTATTGTCTTTATTGGATAATTACCCAAGCTACACCTAACTACCTCTAGTGATGAAGAAATTCACTTGGTGTGTTAGTGCTTGAACAAAATACTATTTCATTCCATTGTTTACTAAAAATAGATCTTTTAGGCTTTAAACAATTTTAATATTACATAGATGTGTATCTGTCCAGCCTACTACTGTCTTTGATAGTATTACTGAGGGACATGTTTCAGCTGTTTATATTTTTACTTCATGACACATTTTGAGGTAGCAAGACTGTTTTTTTTTAAATATCTGCTATATGTAAGTATTTTGTTTTTATTTGTCCTCCAAATTTTAGAGGGCTTCTCATTATAGGATTTACTAAATGAATTATATCTTTTTCACATTTACATATACCCCCAGGATTTTATAAGTTCTGATCATGGCCATTGTTAGCTAAAATTTGTAAACTTTAAAAAGAGTAAAATCTTCATATTTTGAAAAATAGCCCAGATAGTCCGTTCTTAACTTCTAATTTCTTGGTGTCTTTTGTGAAGTGTGATGACCTGAACTGTACTGGTTCTCAGTGGTAAAAGTATGGACAAATTGATTGTTTTATTATACATGTGTAGATAACAGGTTATTTTATATTGCTTTAGTTTTAATACCCTTTCTCGATGTCATGAGCATATTTTTGCCTGTAGCAGCACATTGAGTTAATCAAATCCCTCACTGGAGACGTTGCATTGTAAATCTGGCTTTGGATTATTTTCCTGCTAAGTTATTACTCTGCTCTGGTTGTACAGAGTCACATTTGTCATTTTCTTACACCTGTTCTTCTGCATTCTTTCGGCATTTACAGTATAATTTCTGAACACCTGACATTTTGCTACTTGTTTAAAATTATCTGCAGGTTTGGAAATTTTACTGTGTTTACCTTATTCAGATGAGTGGTAAAACAGTGAAATGAAAGAAGTCCCTTTAACTATGTCTTGGCAATCCAACTCTTTATCTTCCTGTTTTTAAACAGGCCTATTTTGGCCAGGCACGGTAGCTCACGCCTGTAATCCCAGCACTTTGGGACACTGAGGCGGGTGGATCACTTGAGGACAGGAGTTCGAGATCAACCTGGCCAACATGGTGAAACCTCATCTCTACTAAAGATACAAAAATTAGCCAGGCATGATAGCGGATGCCTGTAATCCTACCTACTCGGGAGGCTGAAGCAGGAGAATCGCTTGAACCTGGGAAGCGGAGGTTGCAGTGAGCTGAGATTGTGCCACTGCACTCTAGCCTGGGCAACAAACAGAGCCAGACCCCGTCTCAAAAAAAAAAAAAAAAGAAATATGCCTATTTATTCCTACCCTTTATTGGATAAACAGTTTATATGAGTAAAGTTTGTTTAATGTTTTAAGGTAAGACATAGATAAAATTTAACTTAACTTTGTCTTTCCTTGTGAATGGTGATAGTTAGACCTCTTTAAAAATCTGATGAAAGCAGGTCTATTAATCCTTTCCCCACCAAAATACACACATAAACAAAACTTTTGCATATTTTGCAGAGGAATTCATTAACCCATGTTCAGAACCCTTAGTTTGTACTAGTTTTTGTTTCCTTTAACATTTCAGGAAATCCCCTCAGAATGGCACATTGAACTGATGTTAGACAGAGGGATACCAGCGGAGCTGTGGGCACATTATGTAGAAGAGCTCAACAGCACTCAGAGGATGGCCGTGGAGGACTCGGTTTTTCTTGTATTTTCCCTGAAAAATTTTATTTATGCACTGAAAGCACCTAAATCTTTTCCTAAAGGTAAGATACAAGCTGTGAATCTTTTAAATGTGATACTCTGCAAAACTGAATGATTGACTCCACAGTGACTGCTTGTCTTGAATAAAAAGCTGCCGGCATGTTCATGCAGGGCTGTGCATCGTTTCTCTTTCCATGTCCATGTAGGTGACATATGGTGGAATCCTGAACAACTGAAAGAAGACAGCAGGGACTATCTGCACTTGCTCATTGGGCTCTTTGAGATGATGCTCAATGGTGCCGATGCTGTTCATTTCAGAGTTCTGATGAAACTTTTCATAAAGGTACAAGGCTCATCCTTTTCGGGCGTACTCTACCCTTAAAGAAGATATGGCTGGCTGAGTGCAGTGGCTCATTCCTGTAATCCCAGCACTTTGGGAGGCCGAGGCGAATGGATCACTTGAGGTCAGGAGTTCGAGACTAGCCTGGCCAACATGATGAAACCCCATTTCTACTAAAAATACAAAAATTAGCTGGGCGTGGTGGCGGGGTCTATAATCCCAGCTACTTGGAAGGCAGAAGCAGGAGAATTCGCTTGAACCCGGGGAGGCAGAGCTTGCAGTGAACCGAGATCACACCACCGCACTCTAGCTTGGGCGACAGAGTGAGACTCTGTCTCAAAAAAAGAAATATTGTGGGTTATTTTGGTTATGTCAGTTTATAACGTAAATGAAAGTAGACTTCTAAACAGTGAAGAGTATATAATAGTAAGCACAGGCCCTGTGAAAGAGTACGATCACGATACTAGTCGGTAGGTTGAATAGAAACTAACATTTCTATACTCCTACTAGTATGTTAAGCCCATTACTATATTTAAAAATAACAACAGCCCAGTCTTTTTGATTGGTTAATACCATTTAGAAATGTGAATACTGATGTTCGAGAGGTTATTTAGCAGATGTGAAGTTACTCAGGAAATTTCATCCCCAGCACCAGTGACCTCCATGTTGCCAGGCCCAGTGGTCAGTTCCTGTTCTTGCCTGACTTGTTCTCTGTACAGCATTTGACATTGAGTTGGCATTGCTAACCACATTGTTGAAGCATTTTCTTAATTAGGCATCCCAGATACTGCTCTTGTCTTGGTTCTCAGTGTTTTCAAGTGCAAAGTTATAGTGAAGCTTCTGAATATCACTCTTCATTGACATCTTCCCAGTTCATTAAAACATAGAGTATAGAATAATTTGAAATGATTAGACAAAGCAAAACATTGCCTTAAATTATTTGTTTCTTTATAATTGTACACTAGTGAAAGAGGATTTGGAACCAACTTATTTGAGTAAGAATTAAAAGTTTGCTCTTTTTTTTGTGATTAGGTACATCTAGAAGATGTTTTTCAGTTATTCAAGTTCTCTTCTGTTTTATGGACCTATGGTTCTAGCCTTTCAAATCCACTTAACTGCAATGTGAAAACAGTGCTGCAGACTCAAGCTCTTTATGTGGGCTCTGCAGTGCTCTCTTCTCAGAAGACACAGTGTAAACACCAACTGGCATCCATATCTTCTCCAGGTATTAAAAGTAGCATTGTTACGTTTTGTCATGACCAACTGTTCATGCTTGCTTTATATGGTTTATGTAGTTTGGAAAATTATAACTTAAAAAGTAGCAGAGAGTGGGCCTAGTGGCTCATGTCTGTAATCCCAGCACTTTGGGAGGCCGAGGCAGGTGGATCATGAGATCAGGAGATCGAGACCATCCTGGCCAACATGGTGAAGCCCTGTCTGTACTAAAAATACAAAAATTAGCTGGACATGGTGGCACATGCCCGTAATCCCATACTCGGGAGGCTGAGGCAGGAGAATTGCTTGAACCAGGGAATTGGAGGTTGCAGTGAGCTGAGATCATGCCACTGCACTCCAGCTTGGCGACAGAGCGAGATTCCATCTCGAAAAAAAAAAATCTATAAAGCCCAGGCAAGGTGGCTCACGCCTATAGTCTCAGCACTTTGGGAGGCTAAGGCAGGAGGATCACTTGAGGCCAGGAGTTCAAGACCAGCTTGGACAACATGATGAGATCCTGCCTCTACAAAAAATACAAAAATTAGGTGGGCGTGATGGTGCGCGCCTGTAGTCCCAGCTACTCAGGTGCCTGAGGTAGGAGGATAGCTTGTGCCTGGGAGGTCAAGGCTGCAGTGAGCTGTGATTGCACCACCATACTCCAAACTAAGCAACAGTGCGAGACCCTATCTCAAAAAAACAACAAAAAAAATTGTACATCTATACATATTTCTGGTTACTTCTAAGTGTTGCTTTTAAGTTATTAGTGTCACTTGCAAAATCTCACCAAACAGAAAAGTTTAACAATAGAAATGGCAGGTGATTATATGAGTTCTTAATAATCAGCTATTCATTTTCTGAGCTGTAGCAGCAGTAGGGTTAGATATGGAAGTCAGATCATCATAATACAATTTAATAATGAACTAATAAAAACAAAACCCTCCTGCATTTATCTCTTATCAGGCAAAAATCATATTCAGGTTCGGCATTCTCTAATGAAATATTTATCTGAAAGTTAAGTTTTTTTATAACGTGGAATTGCAGATTTTGCAAAAGATGCAGAATTTCATGAAACAATGACTGCGATATTGAAAAGTGGGTTGACTCAGAGCTATTGGCATGAGGGGATGTGGCAAAATTAGATCAAAGAAGAATGGTTGAAGATGAAAAAGTTGATTAGAATAATGACATGATTGGTGCTTCAAACTGGAATGTTATTAATATCAGAGGCATAAGAGTGGCCCTGAGGAAATTTGAAGATGTCCTTGGTTGTTTTTTTTTTTTTAATTCCAAAATTACTCTTTGTAAATGTTCTGTGAAAGCAAGGTAGATGATCGTATACTTTTCCCTGAACAATTTCTCAGTGTTTATTTTTTATTAGTTCTTTGAAAGAGCACATAATTACATTTATAACCAAATTTTGTTGCATCTAAAGTAATGTAGATATGTAATTTCAAGTTTTATTTCTAAAATAAAATTCCATAAAAGTAATTTTTTTATTGACTTACAAAATTTCGATCTTTATTTTAGGTGAGTTTACTGTTAAGGTTTTTCTAGTTATATTTGGATAAGAACAACTCCCTATACATTTTTTAACTTTAATTTTTCAATTAATATGTTAGGGACATCTTTCCATATTAATAAATGGAAAAATTTATCTTTTTATAACTGCCTGCAGAGTATTCCATTGTACGGAGATAGCAATTTATTCAAATAGTTATTTTCTCCTAAACTTGTGGGTTTTCAAAAAGGTATATATATTTTATTTAGAGATAACTATTTCAGTTTTCCAATTCGGTATTAAATGTTTACTGTCCTTTGACAGTGGCCTCTGAGTAATATATGTCATTTTGACTATAAGTAGCAAGATGGAAGAACTTCACTTTTCCACTGGTATTGCTGCTAGACAGGCTGCCTGCCTCCCACTGCTGCCCTGTCATCCATCTCCTCCTGCCTGCCTGACGTACTTTGCATTTATGCTGTGTACACCGGTTGCAGTACTCCTGAACACAGGAGAGATGCACCTCGTTCTACTTGGAAGTTCAAAGGCCGCTTATTGCGCATGCCCTGCGGGCTCTGCACTTTAGGGCTGCAGTGAGCTTCTAGCCCCACCTTATCTGTGAAGAGTCTAGGAATTATTGGTTGGCATCTGTTTTAATATATTTACAAAAATGTAGTGTTCATAAGTAAAACATGATATCATGTAATATAACATTAATGATACATAAATGTGTTTATATTACTAAATTTTTGTGTTCAGAAGTAAAAGGCAATACAGTGTTATATGATATTATAATCATACAACATGACATAGTAATATAACACAATATTATGAGTTTTTGTCAGTAGCTTGGTAATCTAACCACCATTTATTATTTTCTATGCAGGTATGTATTATAAAAAGTCTTGCACATAGCAAGTCTTTGTTAAATGAATAAATACAATCTATTCTTTTTTTTTTTTTTTTTTTTTAAAGAGACATAGTCTCACTTTGTTACCTAGGCTGGTAGTGCAGTGTTGTGATCTTGGCTCACTGCAACCTCCCCCTCCCAGGTTCAAGCAATTCTCTTGCCCCATCCTCCTGAGTATCTGGGATTACAGGCACGCACCACCACACCCAGCTAATTTTTATATTTTTAGTAGAGACGGGGTTTCACCATGGTGGCCAGGCTTGTCTTGAACTCCTGACCTCAGGTGATCCACCCGCCTTGGCCTCCCAAAGTTCTGGAATGACAGGCATGAGCCACTGCGCCCAGCCAATACAAATCTATTCCTCCTGTCATTTGTGAGATTGTTGCAGTAAACTGAGGAACAGAGAGACAGATATGGGAGAATAGGAAGAATTTATTTTAGGATACGCACCAGCTTAGCGGATTCATATCCAAAAAGCTGAGCCTCGAACAAAGACGGAGTGGGGCCTTTTATAAGCAGGCTTACAAAAGCAAAACAAAGGCCGTTAATCATACAGTGCATAACTTGGGGCCTTGCATACCTTGTGGCCTTGTAGCTGCAGCGAAAGAAAAACAAGAACTGGCTAAACACAGACATTTGTAAAACAGTCATGCTTCAGAGGCCAGGGAAAGGAGTAACAGTAAAGGAATTTGTCTTTCTCTCTTTTTTTTTTTTTCCTTCGACCTTGCTCTAGGGGGGTGCGGGGGGTGTCTGGAGCCCATTCCTTTGGCCTTGGCTTTTCAGACACCGTTGTCTTATAGCTGTCCTTGAAGTGAGCTGCTAAGCAGAAGAAAACTTGTTTCTTTTATTTTTAACCCTTGCCTATCCTGTTACTTTTGTTGGAGTGAATGAATGCATATTTATTTTTAAATCTCTGCCTCAAGATGGGGGCTGCCTTTCATTTATTTTTTATGTCAAATCAATGTATTAAATCTATTTTTATGTTTAAAAGCAAACTCAAGTATTTTTTATTTTTACATAAAAACATGCTAGTGTAGATCTAGATAAAAGTAGTTGAAAGAATGAAATCACATAGACTTTTAAATGAAAGAACAAAAATTCTATAAGCTGATCATTTAAGTAAGTGGCTATAATTTTTGTTGGGTTCTAGTATCTTACTTGAACATGATAACTTTGGTAGTTGGTACTTTGAATTTGTCCTTGAATTTGGATATTGTAGAAGCTGTCCTTCACTCTTCAGGGAATATTACCAAATAGATATTTTGGCCCAAGCCTGCCCCTTGTGTGAATTAAATGTTCCAGCTATTTGTCCTTGACTTTGTTTTGTAAATTAACCATGTGAAAACCAGAAAGGATTTCCAGCTTTCATAGATGATACAGGTTGAGTGTCTCTTATCCAACGTGCTTGGGACCAAAAGTGTTTGGGACTTCAGATTTTTTCAGATTTTAGAATATTTGCATCTACATAATATAATATTTTGGCATTGGGACCCGGGTCTGACCACAATACATTTATGTTTTATATACACCTTTTGCACATAGCCTGAAGGTAATTTTATACAATTTTTAAAATTTTATTTTAGGAGACAGCGTCTCACTTTGTTGCCCAGGGTGTAGTGCAGTGGTGCAATCTCAGCTCATTGCAACCTCTCCCCACCCCCTCCACCCAGGCCCAAGCGGTCCTCCTACCTTAGCCTCGCAAGTACACGTGCCACCATGCCCAGCTAAGTTTTTATATTTTTGGTAGAGACAGGGTTTCGCTATATTGCCTAGGCTGAGCTCCTGAGCTCAAGTGATCCACCTGCCGTGGCCTCCCAGGTGCTGGGATTATAGGTGTGAGGCACCATACCCAGCCCTGTTTCAGTTTTTAATTGCAGCCTTGAACTCCTCGGCTCAAGTCATCCTCCCATCTCTGCCTCCCTCATAGCTAGGACTATAGGCCTGCGCCACCATGCCTTACTAATTTTCTTGTTAAATTTTTTGTGGAGACGGAGTCTTGGTGATGTTGCCCAGACTAGTCTTGAACTCCTGGCCTCAAGTGATCCTCCTGCCTCAGCCTCCCAAAGTGCTGGGATTATAGGCATGAGCCTCTGCCCATCCTGTTTTATACAATATTTTAAATTTGTGCTTGAAACAAAGTTTGGGTACATTGACCCATTTTACTATCCTTTGTGGGCATGCTTGTGTGGAAGAATTTCAGTTTTGTGAAAAAGATATATTGCAGCTGCAGGGGGCTGGCTCTGTCTTTTTTTCTGTGGGGACGCTGAGTAAACAGTTGTATGCCTGCATTTTCACTGCAGCCCGTCACGAGATCAGGTGTGGAATTTTCATATTGTCGTATGTCATATTGGTGCTCTGAAAATTTGAGATTTTGGATTTCTGGATCAACATTGCTCAGCCTATATGGACTTCTTAGGCAGGTTTGAAAGCTTGTCAAGCTTTATCTTAGTATTTCAGAAATGGAAAGTATAATTGATAATTTCTAGCAAAATATAAATGACTGTAGTTTGCTGCAGTGGATATGAAATAAAGCTTAAATAACTAATTACTGTAAAAGGAACTTAGGTACCTCTTTGTTCCAAAGACATCTTTTTAAAAACCCTAGCGCAGTTGGTCTCACAGATGCATTCTTACCAGATCTTTGAAGCAGATTTTTTCAATGTTGTTGAACTGGGCAGGGCATAGAGAAGGGAGGCTTCCAGATTCTTCGTTTAAAACTAGCATAACATTGAAAATTCAGAAAGCCTACAGACAAAAGACTATATAGGCCATGTTGCTTTGAATAATGTTATGTAAAAATCCTAAATAAAATATTTGCAAATAGGCTTTAGCAGCATATTTATAAAAATCATTTACGTAGTTAGAGTTCATGCCCAGAACATAAAATTGGTTCAGTAAAAGGAACTATGTTAATATATAATTGACTATGTCAGTGAAGGACAAAACCCATAAAATGTCCAAATATTTGAAAAGGCATTAGCCAAAAATAGTAATTATTCCTAATTGACAGCAAAATAGGAGTAACATGATCAAAAAATTCCTCAAATTAAAAGTTAGCATTTTCACTTCATAATTGGGAAAACAAAGGCATTCTTGTTAAAATCATCACTCTCATTGAACGTGATTCTAGAAGTACTAGCTGGCAGAAATAGACAAGTTTCAAATACTTATGGAATGTATGAATATAATAAAGCCGAATGTGGATTGTTAAATGGGACATCTGACTATCCATTTGGAAACATTAGAAAGTTTGACTGCAACCTCATTCCTTAGATAAAAATTTCATGTGAACTAAAGATTTAATATAAACTTAGCTCTGGCATTCGACGAAAGCATGAGGTACATATGATCTCTCTCTCTAAATATAGAGATAGATACTTTCTAAATTCACACAGAGTGGGGAGGGCCTTTTTAAGCAACAGAAAAAAGTAGAAGAAAAATTTGACTCTAACATTTCTCTATCAAAAAGTAAAATCAAAACACAGCAGTCTGGGGCCAAGTGTTTGCAGAGAACAATGCACAGGTGGGTGATTTTCTGTGCACGCTTGTACAAGGCTGTATGCACAGGGGTGTTTGTGGCAGCATTGTTTTGATGACAGAAGAATAGAAACAACTTAAACTTTACCAGTAAGATACGGTTTTTAAAATATGGAAAATACATTGGAGTATACTTTACAATTAAAAAGAATGATTTGGCCGGGCATGGTGACTCACGCCTATAATCCCATCACTTTGGGAAGCCGAGGTGGGTGGATCACCTGAGGTTGGGAGTTCTAGACCAGCCTGACCAACATGGAGAAACCTCATCTCTACCAAAAATACAAAATTAGCTGGATGTGGTGGCGCATACCTGTAGTCCCAGCTACTCAGGAGGCTGAGGCAGGAGAATCGCTTGAACCTGGAGGCAGAGCTTTCATTATCTTCTCAAAGAAGCTTGTGTTACAAGCTCCAGCCTGGGCAACAAGAGCAAAACTCCCATCTCAAAAAAAAAAAAAAAAAAAAGAATGATTGAATTTGGATATGTGTGTACTTATGGAAAACAGTCCCAAGAGTTGAGATGTGTCTGTTATCCCAGCACTTTGGGAGGCCGAGGTGGGTGGATCACTTGAGGTCAGTAGTTGGAGACCAGCCTGGCCAACATGGTGAAACCCAGTCTCTGCTAACAATACCAAAATTAGCCGGGCGTGTGGCGTGCACCTGTAATCCCAGCTGCTCGAGAGGCTGAGGCAGGAGAATTGCTTGAACCCAGGAGGCGGAGGTTGCAGTGAGCCGAGATTGCACCATTGTACAACGTCCAGCTCAGATATGAGAGTAGTTGGTGTAGAACAGGGTTTATAGTTTGCTTTTATTTGTGTATTTTCAAAAGAATGCACCTGGTAACATGCCTAACCTTTCTCTGGAATATTAAATATTCAAACAGTGAACAGTCTTCGGAGACGGGGTTTGAATTCGAAGGGATTCTTTTTATCTTTTTATCAAGTACCTTTGGTACTATGTAAATTTTGTACTGTTTCAATTTTTAAAATTGTTTCTTAAATTTTTTTCCCCTTTGGTTTTAGTGGTGACATCTTTACTCGTTAACCTGGGAAGTTCCATAAAAGAAGTTCGTAGGGCTGCCATTCAGTGTCTCCAGGCCCTCAGTGGAGTGGCGTCCCCCTTTCATCTGATAATAGATCATTTGATTCCTAAAGCAGAGGAGATCACTTCAGATGCTGCCTATGTTATTCAGGTAAGCTCGTTAGCAAAGAAGATTGAGTGTGTTCATGCCTGTGTGTACTCATGAGCAATTTTCTCTATTCTCGACATTTCACTGTGTAGGGGTTTTGATGGACTAAGTCACTGAATTTAGGAACTGATAGGTCATTGTCTGTACATCTGTCTCCCCCTACTTTTTAAAAGATAGCAATGTCATATTTCAGTTTTGCTCTTTTCATCGGATAAAGGACTAGGGTATAGCTTTTCATAGTAAGCCAACTCTGTGTTTTTAATAACCTTTCTTATTAAGGTTTTAAGGAGAAATGGAAAAGTAAGAATCTTCCAAAATTAATATATTTAGCCTTTGTAGTTTCTTAACCCTTTTTTATCCAATTTCCTTTTTGGTATCTTAGGATTTGGCTACTTTATTTGAAGAACTACAGAGAGAAAAGAAACTGAAGTCTCATCAGAAGTTGTCTGAAACTTTGAAAAACTTACTTAGTTGTGTATATAGTTGCCCATCTTATATAGCAAAAGATTTGATGAAAGTACTTCAGGGAGTCCACGGTGAGGTATGTGCCGTTTAAGTGGATCGTGCATTCCTGTGATGTTACTAAAGAATAGCTGTAACTGCTTGTGGGTGAGAAAGTCCATTGTAAGAGTTGCATGTGTGCGCTCAGAAGAGATAAATGTAATATTAATTTGAGAGGGAGATGAGTTGAGGTAGAGAAGAAAAGATACAAGATACAAAAACAAGTACTGGTGAGTTTCTTTTAATTTTAAAATTAAATGTGTTGTCCCTATCTAATCATTGAGTTTATTTGAAATGAACTCCACAGTCTTGTGTCTCCTGGGGCTGCACTGCTAAAAGAAGCTGTTGGTTTATCTCTGTTTTTCAAGTGAAAATTCTATACAAAGGAATCTATTTGGACACGAGTCTGTGAAAATTCCAAAATCATTTGCTCGTTTGTTATATATAATTAGAGCTTTCATTATGTTCTCAAAGAAGCTTGTGTTACAAAAGAAAGCAGTTGTGAAACACTCGTTGATGTGATGGCATGTGCTAACCAACAAAAAAAAGATTCTGTCATCCCAGTGTTCCAGAAACGCCTGTGTGCTTCAGTCCTGGACTGACTGTGGGCTTAGAGAACTCAAATGAGTCAAATGGATTGAAGACCATTTGATTACATTTTTTTGGTAGGAACAAACAGGTTGCATTCAGCCCCTAGTTGTCCCTGGTATAGTTTAAATTAGGAATTGACAAATTTCTTGTGTAAAGGACCAGATAGGAAATATTTTATGCTTTCGGGGCCACACAGTCTCTGTTGCAGCTACTCATCTCTGCAGTTGTATCAGGAAAGCAGCCACAGACAGGGTGTAAACAAATGAGCATGGCTATGTTTCAATAAATAAAATTTACAAAAACAGGTGGTCTGTTGAATTGACCTGCAAGCCATAATTTGCTGGCCCCTAGTTTAGCAGTTAAAGATTCACATACATAATTTGAAGTAATATTAATTATACCAAGTTGGAAGCATTGAAGGCTACATACAGTGTTTTAGGGGATGTTAAACTTTATTTTTATTCTCTAAAGTTTTAGTTTGTGTTTTCTTTTCTCAAGTCTTGAGGGATGCTCACAGATTATCTTTCTGCTCATCTCTGAAGGGTTTAGAACTTTTGAGCATTACACATGAACTATCAGAAAGGACCTGAGTGCCTCAGTGTGAGTTAATAGCTGTCCCCATGTCTAAGAAGTTGTCATCATTGGGTTTTTTCCTCCAGGCTAAACTCCCATCTTCTGACAGGCTTTGAGTGTCTCTGTAGGGTGAGCAAAAATGTATCAGTATACATAACTATTTACTTACAAGTCTTTCGATCTTTAGATGGTGCTTTCTCAGCTATTGCCTATGGCTGAACAACTGCTAGAAAAGATCCAGAAGGAGCCCACAGCTGTGCTGAAAGATGAGGCCATTGTTTTGCATCTTGCTCTGGGAAAGTATAATGAATTTTCAGCTTCCCTTTTAAATAAGGATCCAAAGAGTCTAGATATATTTATAAAAGCTGTGCACGCAACAAAGGAACTTTACGCAGGAATGCCAACCATTCAGATCACAGCCCTTGAAAAGGTCAGTGATTTCTTTCAGAAACGAAGGCATAGCATGTTCAAGCATTTAAAGGTAGAAGGCAACAGGAACAGCGTTAAAAAAAAACAAAAAAGCTTTAATTTATTTGGAGAAGATAGTTACAGGTGGACTAGGCATGTTTTAAAGGAATATGATGTATTTGACCCATTTTTGAAAACTGAATGTTGTACATGGGTCATTAAAACGAATTGCATTTTAACCGACACAATTAAATGGGAAACAATTTTATATTTTGAGAGAGGTTGATATAAAAATTATTTCTGGAGTTTAAACTTGTTCACTGAACTCAGTTGCCTTTTTTCTACCCCCTCTAGATTACAAAACCATTTTTTGCAGCCATATCAGATGAAAAAGTTCAGCAGAAGCTTTTAAGAATGCTGTTTGATTTATTGGTGAACTGTAAAAACTCACATTGTGCTCAGACTGTCAGCAGTGTTTTTAAAGGGGTAAGCTGCAAACTTCCTGTAATTTTTTTATTAATGTTTAGTGTCTTCCGAAGGACACCATGTTTAAGAGTCCTGCATTTTATAGTGCTTGTAAGAGGTCAGATGTTACCATTAACAAAAATCATGGAAAAGTGAGTCATAGAGAGGCATAAAATAAAAATTTTAAATCTTGACCATTATTTTATTTTATGAAATATTTGTTGATAATTTTAACCAGATAGGGTGTGTAGGAATATGTGTGTGTGTGATCTTACTCGTATTACATGGAATCTACCTACTCCTTTATGCAAGGAATAGGAATGAGTGAGTGGCTCAATATTGAACGGGGTAACATTATTCTACTTAATTGTTTTAGTTTAAATGTTATGTTTTAATTTAATTCTACTTAATTTAGTTGTTTAATGACTTGTAATGGAATTGAAATTCTGCTTGTTGGTTTTATATGTATATTGAAACCTAGCTATTATCAGAATAGCCACCTGGTTATTCTGTTTTTTGAATATAGGATAATATAAAGTTCTAGTATCTAGATTCAGCAGTTCTCAGAATTTTAACATATTTACTTAATCTTTTTTCCTTCTTTTTCTTTGCTGAAGTATTTTAAAGAAAATCTCAAAATGTCATGCGCTTTCATCCCTCTGTGCTTCAGTGTGCATCTTTTGAAAAGGGGATACGACTACAATGGCATTAGAATTTAAAAAAATTAATAATTCCTTGATATTATCTAATACCTAGTTCATAATCATATTTCCATGGTTATCTCAAAAGTGTTTTTTATAGTTGTTCTCTTAATCAGAATCCAAAGATTTAGTCGTGATGTTAGAACCTTATAAAAGGAGATATCTGGATCCCACCCCATATCTAAAGAATCTCTGGGGCTATGAATCTGTTTTTGTGCATGTGTGTATATGTCTTATTCCTGCCCAGCTGATTAGAATATACATATCTAATCCGGCACTTGGAAACCATTGGTATGGATGATTCTATGTTGCGTTACTAGTTTTCCACTCTAAGGGATGAACGTGAAATTGAGTGACTCTGGACTGGAGAAGTGATACCATATCATAATCACGACAAGTGCAGGGCTGTAATTTGAGACTCCCAAAACAAATTATATAGAAAGCAAGTGCATGGTAGTAGGAGAGCTTAGTTAAAATGAAAATCTGAAGATGAATTTATGTTGGCTATTGCTTTTGGTTTATACCCTTCCCTACTTTGCTTTCTTCTCATTCTGGTTTTTCAAGAGGTCTGTAACAAGGTAGTAGCCTCCAGTGCTGGGTGGGTGCAGATGTATGTCCAGTAAGTCATTCTTCTCTCTTAATTGAATAAATCCTTCCTAGGGGTTAATGTCTGATTTTAGTCTTAATATTTTTAAGGAAATGTTGGAAAAATTGGAATCACAAAAAAACACATTTTTAGGAGGCTTCAAATATAGTACTAATTAAGTGCTAATTGAATTGAGCTAAGATCTAGTCCAAATGAGAACATCTTAAAGAATTTAAAGGATTATTAGAAGGAAAGTGTTAGCCCAAATTCCTCCCTCTTCTATTTGACAGTGGGCTAGGGAGCATATGAGATACTTGCTAGACATGTCATATCAGCCAGAAATAAGATTGGCCTTAAATGTCAGGCCAGTTGTACTTTGACTACAAAAATTATTTTGGTTACCAGAATACACTCGATTATATGAAACACTCTCATGGTCTGTGACAATAAATATACACCGTATGCTAAATTAAGTATATACTGGTGAGAGTATAGGTATGCAAGGTACACTAAGTGAAGCATACCAAGGTACAGAGCAATGTGTATAGTATGTTTCTATTTATGTTTTTTAATAGAATCTTTATTTAGCCATTGGTATACGGAAAGTTTTTAAAAGGATGCTTAAGAAATTGTCAGTGATGTTTGCCTTTGGTGATTGGGCTAGGGTATGGAGTGGCATAAAGACATAAAAATGGACGTAAATGCTTTCATTGTATGTCTTAATCTAACATATATTGCTCTAATTTTATCCCAATGGATTATATCATCAACTGTTCTTCCTTCAATATTTCAGATTTCCGTTAATGCTGAACAAGTCAGAATAGAACTGGAGCCACCAGATAAAGCTAAACCCTTGGGCACAGTTCAGCAAAAAAGAAGGCAAAAAATGCAGCAGAAGTAAGAGCTACAAATGCATTGAGCACTTGCTGTTGTTCCCCTGACTCGGAATGTTATGAAATCTTGGAACTTTTTGATACCCATCAATTTGCTATAATAAAGCACAATGGTTTTTACTTAGCACATGATAGGGTTTGCTTTTCCAACTTTTTGTCTTCTCCATTTTCCAGAAAATCACAAGATCTAGAATCTGTCCAGGAAGTTGGAGGTTCCTACTGGCAAAGAGTAACTCTCATCCTGGAATTACTGCAGCACAAAAAGAAGCTCAAAAGTCCTCAGATATTGGTGCCAGCTCTTTTTAACTTGCTATCAAGGTAGTGACACTTGGCTTTTTTTTTTTTTTTTTGAACAGATCCGCTCTGTCCCAGGCTGGTGCAGTGGCCATCTCAGCTACTGAAGCTCGCTCCGGGTTCATGCCATTCTCCTGCCTCAGCCTCCGATCTGTGAGAGAACAGGACTCTGATTCTTGCCCATCTTATCTAACATTCTCTTTTCAACATACTCTTCTCTTGTTTAGATAGTCTGTAAAATAAAGCAAGTACTATAGGTGAAATTAAAAGATTGGTTTTAGGTATCCATTGCCAGTACCCCAAACTGACCTTAGTGTCCTGTGTCACGTAGTAAATGACCACTCACTTTACAGCCTACTTCCCTCTGAACTTTTCAGTAACATGCCTGGGGCATCATTACTTGTATTTCAAGATATAATGTTGAATTTATATAGATATATATGTGTGTGTATATATAGTATTTGCTATCTATATTTTCATATATAGATGTATATATTTTATATATATAGATTTGTGTGTGTGTGTGTGTAAATTGAGTATGAATTGTAGAGTGTGCTTTCATGTGAAAGGCAAAGTAATTCTGAAGGTTGTCCTGTAAGATTCCAAATAGGTTAATAGAAAGTGCAATAGAGAGGAAGTGGAATTTGACATAGCACCTGTCTATATGAGAGAAAATTAGAGTTAGAAATCTTATATCTTATTTCTAGACTTCATGTTTAATGGTAGTATTTTAGTTATTCCTTATTGAATATGAGTTCTGGACAACGGTCATTAATGCAGCCATGAATTGTACAACTTTTACATTTCCCATCATTTCTCTTTTGGGTGTCCTGAAGGTGTTTAGAGCCCTTGCCACAAGAGCAGGGAAATATGGAATACACCAAACAGTTAATTCTTAGTTGTCTGCTCAACATCTGCCAGAAACTCTCTCCGGATGGTGGCAAAATACCCAAAGGTAGGTACTTTTTGGAAGGAAAGGTTAGAAAAATGACCTGCTTTGAGTGTGAGTGCACCTGCCACTTAGGGTTTTTGTCTTTCTCGCCACTGTAGATGTTTTAGATGAGGAGAAGTTCAATGTGGAGTTGATAGTTCAGTGCGTCCGCCTTTCGGAGATGCCGCAGACCCATCACCACGCCCTTTTACTTTTGGGCACTGTGGCTGGAATATTTCCGGTAAGTGTTAATCATACAAGGTTTTAGCAGATATTTCAAGATTTTTCTTCCACAGAAATGCACTGGCACCTATTGATTTTAAATTTAATCAGGTAGGCTTTGGAATCTTCCAGCACCCGTGAGAGTCAGCCCTGCCTCTTCATAGCTGGGACTGTCTGAGCCGGTTGATCTTGCTAAGCTTTGGTTTCCCTTTTTATCAAGTGGGAATAATGACCTTCTTCACTGGATTGTTGGGGGAATTCAGTTGGATAATTTATGGTTAGTACTTAGCACAACACCTGGCACACTATCTATCTAATAAAACAGCGGGCATTAGTGTTATTTGGTAAAAGTTAATATCTCATTTATCCTCAAGTAATCCTCAAAATAACCTTTAACCAGTGACTTAAGAAAATTAATTTGATCACAAACTATATGATTTAAAGAAATCATGTCCCTTTTATGAAAAACATCATTTAAACATTTGTAAAGAGATTGAAACTATTTTCATATTGCAGACTTAGGTCAGAGGTTTTTAACCTGGGGTTCTCTGTGAGCTTTAGGGGATCTTAATGTACTGAAATCATATGCAAGGTTTTATGTCTATGGGGTTTTTTTTTTTCTTGTAAGACAGTCTGTGCTTCTCAAAGGGGTTGATAATCCAAAAACAGGTAAGAATCATTAATATTTTTTGTTTTTGTTGAAATATTATTCAGATGCCATGAAATTCACCCATTTAATAAGTATACAGTTTAGTCTATTCACAAAGTTTGTGTAATCACCACCACGATCTACTTTAAGAGCATTTTCATCACCCCAGAAAAGAAACTCTACACCCATTAACAGTCACTCTTCCTCCCCCTCCTCTCTGCCACCACCACCACCACCCTGCTCCTGGCCACTAGTAATTCATTTTCCGTCTCTGTTGATGCCTATGCTGGACGTGTCATATAAATTGAGCCATGCAGTATGTGGCCCTCTGTGTCTGGTTTCTTTTGCTTAGCATAACGTTTTTGAGGTTCATTCATGTTGAAGCTTGAATCCGTATTCCTTTTATGACTGAATAATATTGTTGTTTGTGTATGCCACATTTTGTTTATCTCTTCATCGGTTGATGGACATTTGGGTTGTTTCTACTTTGGGGCTATTATAAATTATGTTGCTATGAATATTCTAGACCAGGTTTTGTGTGGACACGTTTTCATATCTCCTGGGTATATTTACCTAGGAGTGGAATTATTGGGTCAAACGGAATTTTATGTTTAACTTTTGAGTAACTTGCGAGACTATTTTCCATAGTGGCCACACCATTTTGCTTACAGCCTGTAAAGATCCCAATTTCTTCACATCCTTGCCAGTACTTGCTATTGTCTTTTTTATCACCATTCTAGTGGGTGTGAAGTAGTATTTGTGCTTACATTCTTTTCGTATGAATTTTTTCTTTGGAGAAATGTCTTTTCAAATCCTTTGCCTGTTTTTTAATCAGGTTATTTCTCTTTTTATTGGTGAGTTGTAATGAATCATCGAAATGGAAAATGTTAGCCTGAGCAGGAATATCACTTGTGGCCAGGAGTTCAAGACCAGCCTGGGTAACATAACAAGACCCCATCCTTATAAAAAGGAAAAAGAAAAAAAATTAGCTGGGCATGGTATTGTGCACCTGTAGTCCTAGCCACTCAGGAGGCTGAGGTGGAAGGATTACTTGAGCTCAGGAGTCCAAGGTTACAGTGAACTATGATCACATAACTGCACCCCAGCCTGAATGACAGAGCGAGACCCTGTCTCTTAAAAAAAAAAAATTAGTAGAAATAGAAAATGTTGATAGTTATGTTTTCTTTCAGGATAAAGTTCTACACAATATCATGTCTATTTTTACATTTATGGGAGCCAATGTCATGCGCCTGGATGATACTTACAGTTTTCAGGTTATTAACAAGACGGTGAAAATGGTTATTCCTGCACTTATTCAGGTAAGCTCTCTTTTTACCATCCTGGGGTTTCTTTTTTTAATTTAAGAATTTTGCATATAAATGACATTAAAAGCCTGGGGTTTTTTTTTTTATATCCTCAACAATTGTATAAAAGCCTTTCTGAAATGCTCAGATACATTGCCCTTAAGTTTTAGAATGCTGAAGCTAAGAAGCAGTCTGGGCAATGTCTTTCCCAATAATCCAAACATGTTTTAGCTGGTTCTGCTGTGCTCTGTGTGTGTGTACCTGTAAGTGTCTTAACATCATTTGGATGGGGTAAATTTACATCCACCATCTATTTCAGGACACTGCATCAGTTTGATAGTACCTTCTTACATGTTGATGAGGATAGGAACTTTTAGAGCTGCAGTGACAAATTTGTTAACATGCAGTTTAGCAGATGTTTGCCAAGCATTAACTCAGAGAGAGAGGTGAGATGTTCTCTCTCCCAGTAAGGAATGAACAATTCAAAAGTTAAAAGTAGCCTCAAGAATAAAAGAGCTTGGTCATCTGCTTGAGTTTTCTATGTACCCTCACTTGTTAATTAATGTCTTTTCTCATGCTGTTGACCATCCCAGGGATCACCATATTCAGCACCTTCTTTTAACCTTAGTATTAGATTGGTGTTCTCAGTGTCCACCAAGTTGGCAAATACAGGATATATACCTAAAAAGAAAAATAATAATATGCATTCATATGGTCAGTGCCAGTCAAGTAAATGCTAAAGAGTTCAGAATAGGAGATAGTCCATATGGGACAGGATGACCAGAAGGTTCTGTAAGAAAATTTGAACCGGTGTGAAAGAAGATAGGATTTGTTCAGTGATGGCAGAGCCAATAGTATGAGAAAAGGCGTGATCTAGGAATGTTCACAGCGTGTTTGAAGAATGTAATGGTGATAGATGGATGGAGAGCAGAGAGTTGAGGCAGGTAGACGCTGGTTTAGTCATTCATTCAAGTGTTTTCTGTCATTTATTCAACAACTGTATTTTGATCGCCAGTACCTGGAATAAAATGGTTCAAACTTTATTCCGAAAGCAGCAAGAAGTTGTTGGCCTTTCCTGTGCTCTGCTTATCTTCATTCTTCTTGAGGCACAACCCAAATCCTGCGTGATTTGTGCAGCGTTCCCAGGCAGCCTAAGTGGACTCGCTATCAGTGTCACGTATTTGCCATCTGCCGTTACTGCCTCCTGTTATCTTTTCACATATGTATTCTGTGTCTTTTGTTTGTTTTTTTGAGACTGAGTTTTGCTCTTGTTTCCCAGGCTAGAGTGCAATGGCATGATCTCGGGTCACTGCAACCTCCGCTTCCTGGTTTCAAGTGATTCTCCTGCCTCAGCCTCCCGAGTAGCTGGGACTACAGGCAGGAACCACCACACCCAGCAATTTTGTATTTTTAGTAGAGATGGGGTTCACCATGTTGGCCTGGCTGGTCTTGAACTCCTGGCCTTAGATGATCTGCCCACCTTGGCCTCCCAAAGTGTTGGGATTATAGGCGTGAGCCACTGTGCTCGGCCATGTATCCTGTTTCATACAGAAAATAAACCTCCTTTGGGGCAGGGCTCATATCATACACTTTGTATTCCCCTCAGGGCTAAATAGCACCTGGGACATGATAGTTACTTACTGAATATTTATTGTTAGGGCTTTGATTATTAAAACTCTTATGGCTGACTGAGTGTGGTGACATGCCCCTGTAACACCAGCACGTTGGGGGCTGAGGTGGGATTATTTGAGGCCAGGAGTTTGAGACCAGCCTGGTCAACATAGCAAAAGCCCGTCTCTACAAAATGTTTTAAAAAGTGGTGGTGGGGGTTCTGGGATGTCCCAGCTTCTTGGGAGGCTGGGGTAGGAGGATCGCTTTGAGCTTAGGAAATCCAGGCTACGGTGAGATATGGTCACGCCACTGCACTTCAGCTCGGGCCACGGAGAAAGACCCTGTCTCTAAAAAAATAAATAAAATTCTTCTGGTAACTTCTTGGGGCCCATCTAAAAACCTTATCTTGTCCACCTAAAGCTTGTTTTGTGGAAGATTACTTGCACCTACTTACTGTCTCTGCTTGCTGTTTTGCAGTCTGACAGTGGAGATTCTATAGAAGTTTCAAGAAACGTTGAAGAGATCGTGGTAAAAATCATTAGTGTATTTGTGGATGCACTGCCACACGTCCCGGAGCACAGGCGCCTGCCCATCCTTGTTCAGCTTGTTGATACGCTGGGTGCAGAGAAATTCCTCTGGGTTCTCCTCATCTTGCTTTTTGAACAGTATGTCACAAAAACAGTGCTGGCGGCTGCCTATGGAGAAAAGGTCAGAACCTAGAGTGGGAAGATAAGGAAAATGGTGATTTACACAGATTTTATGTTATTGTCCAGTTTAAACATGGGGCTGGTGATGCCTAATGTGTGTTATTTGGAACCTTTTTGCTCAGAACCTTTTTCAAAAAGGTTTTTGGCATTTAAAAAAATTTCATTCAGAGCCCGTAGCACTCTGAATATCCTCAGTTGCAGCAAAACATCTGAGGGTGAATTAACTTTTCTGAGAAACAGATCTGGTGCCATGCAGGTGGTTCTGTTTTGAGCCCAGGAGAGTATGGCTGATGAGTAATGAAACAGCATCTCTTCAAAGTGGTTTTGAAGGCAGTTTGTGGGGAAATGGAGCCTCCGTGTCCCTGAAGTTAGTAAGACACAAACACGGGTGATTGTTTGGAAAAGCCCTGTTTGGATAAGCCAAGGACCATTTTTAAATGACTTCTTAGACATGGGATCTGGGAGTAGATCTCGACCTACTCTAAATAAAGTAGTATACTCTTTTCTGCTAGAAATCCTAACGCACATTATCCTGAAATTATGCCTTCACAATTCCTAAGTACAGATTTATGACTTTTTTCTCTTTCTACACAGGATGCTATTTTAGAAGCAGACACTGAATTTTGGTTTTCAGTCTGTTGTGAGTTTAGTGTCCAGCATCAGATACAAAGCTTGATGAATATCCTCCAGTACTTACTAAAGCTGCCAGAGGAAAAAGAAGGTAAGCGTAGATCGGGTGTCACTTACCGTTCAATCTGAAAGCTAAGGAGAAACAGAAGAGAATGTAGGTTATCCTTAGTACATCTTCAGAAGGATTTTTAAAGTAAGTTAATCATTTTAATTTGATTGTGTACTTTCTTGAATCCTTATGGAAAATAGTCGGAATTCCATTTGCCATTCCTCACACATTGTCTTTTATACCTCTGTGCCCTGTGCTTACATCTTGGCTGTGGAATGTTGCTGGTATCCAGGATGAGTTAGGTTCGAATGACAGTAAATGATCAGGACCTCGTTAGCTGTCTCTCAGCTTCTCATTAAAATATCTGAAGACATGTACATGAAAAGAAAAAAAGTAGGTACCACAGGAGTGGCAGCAAAATATTAAAATTGTACCATACAGCAGAGCCTTGAAGAAAATCCCACTAACCGCAGCACCACTGAGGCTGGCTTGGGAAAGGGTTGATGAAGCCAGGTGTGATGGTATCAGCCTATGGTCCCAGCTACCCAGGAGAGTGAGACAGGAGGATTACTTTAGCCCGGTTCAAGACCAGCCTTAGCAACATAGTAAGACCCCATCTCTAAAAATATTTTTTTCGTTAAGAAAGGGTTGACATGTTGAAAGTTCTTAGTTTTCTACTCTTCGAAGCAGAACAACAAGGCACGTTAGAAAGAAGATACTCTAAGAGCTCCGCGGAGACTGTTTTCTGCATGGCCAGCCATTGGCCCTGTCATCCCTGTTTGGCCAGGCAGTGACTTGTCCTATCCTGCAGTCAGCTCAGGTTTGGCAGGGACAGACACGGGAGGTCCCTGGAGAGTATGTGGTGATGTGGGTAAGGAAATGTCTTAGCAGTAAGTCATTCTGTAGGATAGTGGTTTTTAACACTGCACTGCCAACCCCATTTACATTAGATACATTTAATAAAGAAATCTACATCTGCAGTTGGAAGTTCAAGGCTCCTTCTGTGATATGGTCTTCTTCCATTTGATTGTCCACTTTCCCTGTTTTGTTTTTTGTCTTAAACACTCACTTCTCAGGGCCATTGGGTACTTTCTTGGCAAATACACTCATGTTTTTCACTAATTTAGAAGAGGAGAAACTGGATGTAATAGATGAATAAATTTCTCTGTGAAAATGTTATCCCATTAACCATCCTTTACTTGAAAGGTCATATCTATTAATTCTGTATGAAGGATTTGGGTGAAAGTGAGTTGGGTCACTTGTTTTGTTGCTGTTTCAGAAACCATTTCCAAAGCAGTGTCTAATAAGAGTGAATCACAAGAAGAAATGCTACAGATTTTTAATGTAGAGACTCACACTAGCAAGCAACTGCGGCATTTTAAATTTTTGTCAGTGTCCTTCATGTCTCAGCTCCTGTCTTCCAATAATTTTCTGAAAAAGGTAATATGTTCTTTAAATGTGTTTATAAAAAGGTAATTCTGCTGTTTCCAAGGGAACTGTGTTTTCAGTTAGTAGAAGTAGCTTGGTAAATGGCTTATGAAAATGTGAGGCATGCCTTTAAAGATAATAGAAAAAAAAGTACATTTCACTCTGAAAAACTGTTCGTCACGATCTACTGAGATTGAACATAATGTAAACTCTATGTTCAGTGGTTTCATTCTTAAGTGTTGTGTACCCACCAGAAGTATATGAACATGTACACCAAAAAAACTACAAGAATGTTTATAATATTCGTAACATTCTTCGTGGTAGCACAAAGTTGGTAACAACTCAAATGTCTACCAGCAGAGTGGATAAATTGCCTGTGTTTTATTTTATTTTGTGAGACAGGTCTCACTCTGTGTCCCAGGCTGAAGTGCGGCAGCGTCATCGTGGCTCACTGCAACCTGGAACTCCTGGGCTCAAGCAATCCTCTTGCCTCAGCCTCCCAAGTAGCTGGGACTATAGGCGTGTGCCACCTACGTCTGGCTAATTTTAAAACTTTTTTTTATAGAGATGAGTTCTCGCTATATTGTCCAGGCTGATGCCAAATTCCTGGCCTCAAGCGATCCTCCTACCTCAGACTCCCATAGTGCTAGGATTACAGGCATGAGCCACCATGCTGAGCCTTTCTTTACCATGCCCAGCCTTTCTTTACCTGGATATAGTGAGTTCTGCATGTATGATTTGTGTACATCTCTGTGTATTAAACTTGTTTAAACAATGAGAGAAAAGGGAGGAAAGAAAGGAATATCATGACCAGGAATATAAAAATGGTTTGACATTAGAGTACTGTAAAGTACATTAAGTCCTATAATGCATTAACAGATGAAGAAGGGAAAACATATGATCATTTTACATTTTACAGTGAAATAATTCAGCAGATTCAATACTCATTCACAACTTAAGAAAATCCTCTCGGCGGTGCAGGATAGATGGGAATTACTCTGGCCTAATAAAGGTGACAATCTGAAGCTTGTGGTTTATATCATACCTAATGATGAAATATTAATGGTGTGCCTGCTGCAGTCAGGGACAAGAATGCCCTCTGTCATTGTTTCTATTCAGAAAAGAAATGAAGTGTAAGAAACAGGAAAGAAGAGAATCAGCAATTAGAACTAATAATGAGTTCAGTAAGCTAGCTTGAGAGAGATCAGTGTAGACACTATCTAGAGATAAGTGTAGGTCGTGATCTGTATCAAGTAAGCTGGCTGAACTAATTAGTCTCACACACCGTTACTAATATTATTCCTCAAATTAGAAAACAGAGTAGATAAAAAAGATTTCCTGTATAATAAAAACAAACTTAAAAAAAACATAAGCTTATAAGGTACCAAGAACAAGCCTGACAAAAATATGTGCACAAATATTATGGAGGAATGTCCAAGATATGAAGGGACACAGAAGAAAACTTGGAAGAAATGGAAAGAGAGACACTGTTTACGCATAAGAAGCCTCGCTATTTAAAGATGGCAGATCTGCCCAGATTAGTCTAGAAACTTAATGTGCTTTTTCAATTATATCATTTTAAGAAATTATATTGATACATTGATACCAAACTGTAAGGGGCCAAGGACAGGGGTATGGTGCAGGAGTACCATCTGATACCATACCATACATCTGATACCATACTATACCATCTGATACCATACCATACATCTGATACCATACCATACATCTGATACCATACTATACCATCTGATACCATACCATACATCTGATACCATACCATACATCTGATACCATACCATACATCTGATGATGGACCAGTACGACTGAACAGTAGGCCCAGAAACACATGCAGGCGTAGGTAAGAAGTGTAGTAGGTGGTTTTACAAAGCAGTTGGGGGAGAGAATGGTTCAAGTGCTGGCCCTGGCATGATTTGTTTTCCATTTGGGGAAAAGTCTGATGTCACACCTTATAGAAAAGACAACTTTAGTCAGAGTAAAACTTCATTGTGAAAAACAACAGTTCAAATGTTTAGAAGAAAATCAAGGAGAACATGATCGTGACTGGAGGATAGAAAAGAATTTCTTTAAAATTTTGATTCACTAGAAGGCCACAGCCTAAGAGAAGATTATTGCTCTGCATAAATAAAAAAACATCAGTTTCCGTTAGAACAACTGGCAAAGAAGATGAATTCACTGAAGAGGGATCACAAATGGCCAATTAATGTACAATGTCATTTAGCCTCTCCAGTAAGCAGGAAATGTGAATAAATGTGATACCCATCAAATTGGCAAAACTGTTGAAGTTGTTAATCCCAGGGAGTGGGCAGGTAGTGGCAGACAGCGTGATTGTTCCAACCACTTTGGAAAGCAGTTGGCAGGATCCCATGAGGTTGAAAGTTCTGGAAATTCCTATGATCTGGTCATTCCCTTCCTTAGGCATATATGTTGTAAAAACTTGCCTAGATGCTCAAAGGGACATAAAAATTTTCTTCTCTAGCATTGCTAATAAAAGGGGAAAAAAATGGACATAAACTGAACATCTGGCAACAGAGGCAAATGGATAGATAAGTTGTATTTATAGAGGAATATCATATGCAGTTAAAATGAATGAACTAGAACATAAGTCACCATGCATAGATCTCAAAAATATGTTTCCAGAAAAACATGTTGTTCCATGATATGTACTGTTTGAAACATTTGGTAGCAGATTTGGGATGATGGTTGTGTTTGTGGGACTTGGGTAATGGGAGAATAGGACCAAGGAGCAGTACTTGGGGGATTCCAGCTGAAATCTGTAATGTTTAACTTCTCAAACAATGATATGTGTGCTCACCAGATCAGCATGTCATAGAATTCGGTAGCGGTAATTCAGTGTTGATTGCTGTATTTTTCTGAACCATTGTAGTACTAGAATGTAATTAAATTAAGATAAATAGAGTTACTACAGTATAATGAGGATGATATGAACCTGATTAAATTGTAATGTCAGAAAAAGTTGCTATGGAAAGTTTGAGTGAATGGTCCAAGTTTCATTGAACTGACTTGAAATGACTTTTATTATCAACTTTTATATTCTAATGACATCTTCTTTAAAAATTAGGTAGTTGAGAGTGGTGGTCCTGAGATTTTAAAAGGCCTTGAAGAGAGGTATGTTTACTTTTCTTTTTTTACTTTTTATTTGGGAATGACTTCAAACTTATAGAAAACCTGGAAAAATAGTACAGAAAATTCATATACTCTTTACAACCAGGTTCACTTTTGCCACATTTACCTTAACGTTCTCGCTACATAGGGTTTTTTTCTCTGAGCCATGTGAAAGTAAGTCATATATATTATGTCTCTAAGAATAAGAGATGTTCTTATAAAACCACAGTACATTGATCAAATTCAGAAAATTTAACATTGGTCCAATCCAGTGATGTAATCTACAGTTCCTATTCCAGTCTCCCAAGTTATCCCAGCACTGTCCTTTACACCGCATGTGTTTCTGCTTCACAATCCATGTCAAGTTTCGGTATCGTATTGAGTTGCCATATCTGTTTAGTGTCTTTTCATCTGGCCCTGATTTCTGTGCGCTCATGAATTCTTTATTCCATGGATTATAATCCATATGTTGCCATTATATATTTGGGTGCAGGAATTTTCCTTTCACTCTCATGTCCTCGGAGGGGGTGCCTCCTGGCCTTGCTGTGTACCTCCTTTTCAGATGCAGGGCGTTCCCAGGGCCACTGTCCTGCCCTGTCCGCTGGAAAGTGCCTGCCCTGTAGCCAGGATTGTGAGCTGCTGAGCTCCAGTCCTGTGGGCCGACTTTTAGCGCTATGTGTAGGACTTTCGTTTTTGGAGCTGATTTGTCTGAGCCCCCTTCTCCCCTCCTCTGCTGTGCTATGTCAACTTCTGTCTCCACTCTTCCTTCTAGCTCCCACCTCAGGCTGGCAGCAGTGGGGGGATCTCCAGTGGTAGTTGTGTTGGAATTTGATGTGTGCTTTTCTAATTACAGGTTATTTGAAGTTTATAGTCTTTTTTTTTTTTTTTTTGGTCTCCTAATGTGAAAGAAGTGGGTTATATGTTCATTTGTATTAATATTTCTCTTTATACAAATGGTGTGTGCGTGTGTGTGCATGTGTGTGTGTGCACACACCTGCCATTAACCTAGGACCATAATTCCCTGAACACCCCACTTGGACAGCACAGTGAGACCCACTGAGCATGAGCTAGATATGAGTGAGTTCCTTAAATGCATTCAGCATCTGTTGTTTATTCCTCACCTCACAGTCTGAGCGAGGACGATGCTTCTGCGCGGAAGTGCCTAGTTACTTCTTGATGATCTCTGTCTATGGCAGTAATCCCTCATTTCCTTTCTGTCCGAGTAGTTTTTGAAATAATTTAGTACAGAATTATTTAATTGGTCTTTCTACTTGAAACATTTAGCATGAGATAGACATGAGCGAGTTCTCTGAGTGCCTTCAGCTGCTGTTTGCTGAGCGAGGCTGCGTGTTTCAGGTTGCTGGAGACCGTTCTCGGCTATATCAATGCTGTTGCACAGTCCATGGAAAGGAACGCAGACAAACTCACTGTGAAGTTCTGGCGTGCGCTCCTTAGTAAAGCTTACGACCTGTTGGACAAGGTAGGTTTTCATTTCTCCCTGGAATTAATTGTTTCGTTGCTGTTTTTTATATTACTGTGAAATCATTTAAAGGTTTTAAGAAAAAACTTAGCAATTCCTTTTATGAATACAACGAAGCTCAGATTTTTCTTAGAAAATAATCTCGTGATGACTAGAAATAAATTTGTCTGGAAAAAATTGTTTCCCTACCAGTTATGAGAATATGTACCTCATATATTTTAAAAATTAAGTCATGTAATATATAATGTTCTACTTTATTCAAGTAGAATACAATAAAAATATGAAGTATGTTACATGCATATCACTGGCCTTGAAATTAGGATTGCTAATTCAAATCTAGCTAAATGGTTTAGCTTCATGCCTTTGACACTTCCTCCTGACATCAAGCTTTTGTTTTGTTTGATAATGTGTGGTTAGTAATGCCTACCTGAAAGGTTATTTTAAGAATTAAATAAGAAAATGTGTGTGAAAGTGCCTGGTGCCTGGAGGTGTGCAATGGACAGCAGTCTGTCTTAACTGAAGTTGATCTTTTTTTAATTTTTTTTTCTTATCATGTTAAATATAAAACTTCTCTTCAGGTCAATGCCTTGCTGCCCACAGAGACATTCATTCCTGTGATCAGAGGGCTGGTGGGCAATCGCCTGCCATCTGTTCGGCGGAAAGCGCTGGACCTTTTGAATAACAAGCTACAGCAGAATATATCCTGGAAGAAGACAATAGTGAGTGAAGACCCAGGACACACCCATTTACTTTGCTTTATCAAGGAGCTGCATTTAACTCCCTTCAGTTTCTCTAGTGGTACAATTTCAAATTGAAGTATATTATTATCTGAATATAATACCATGACATGTTTTAAAATGTGATGTTAATTCTAATGGGAATACATGTGTGTTGTAAGAGCTCTTAGAATGAAATTTCAGCCTATTGGAATTCTTACTACACAGCTTTGTGGCTTTAGCCTTAGCATAATTCTAAGTCCCTTTTACTCCAAATTGTATGCGTGAAAAACTGGTTAGAACATGCATTTTGCTTACCATGACTGTGTGACTCAGGACCCCCGAGTCTGATTTCCATTTGGACAGTCTCAAGCTGTGACAATGGGAAAAATGGACAAACATTTTTTGCAGCTTTAATGATTTGGGGATTCTGGCTGTCCCCTTCAGGTTACCCGTTTCCTAAAACTGGTTCCAGACCTTTTGGCCATTGTGCAGCGTAAGAAAAAGGAAGGGGAAGAAGAACAAGCAATCAACAGACAGACAGCATTGTATACCTTAAAGCTTTTATGCAAGAATTTTGGTGCAGAAAATCCAGATCCTTTTGTCCCAGTGCTGAGCACTGCTGTGAAACTGATTGCTCCAGAGAGAAAGGAGGAGAAGAATGTCTTGGGAAGCGCGCTGCTGTGCGTGGCAGAGGTGACCTCCACCCTGCAGGCGCTGGCCGTCCCCCAGCTTCCCAGGTATGCGGCCGGAGACTTGAACAGGAGCTGTTACCGTCTGGCACACGTTGAAAAATAACACCTTGGTGACTTTTTTCTTTTTCCTCTGAGTAGACGTTGCATAAAATTGGATTTGTTAAAGAATTGATCTTGCAGGGTGTGGTGGCTCAAGGCTGTGATCCCAGCACTTTGGGAGGCCAAGGCAGGGAGATCGTTTGAGCCCAGGAGTGTGATGCTATAGTAAGCTATGACTGCACCACTGCACTGTAGCCTGGGCAACAGAGTGAGACCCTGTCTCTTAAAAAAACAATAAAAATAATCTTCAAACGGAAAGACAGCCTTCCCATTTATCTTCAGATGCACTGCTTTGTGATGTTAATCGTCCCCCATTCTTCCTTCCTTTTGTCTAGCATAGTCAAAAAGCAGTGGGTGAAGGTTCTCGGCAGAGGGGCCCACCCAGTTAGGCAAGGCCAAAGCTGCGTTCTGTTGCCAAATGTGGAAGTTAGAAGCTCCTGGCTGTGGTAGTTCCTTACTGTACACAGCCAGTATGTTCCTTAACCTGTTAGAGCTTTACTGTCTATGAAACAGAGACAGTATCTGCCTCATAGGATTTCTGTAGGGCAGTGCTTGCAAGGAGTTTTGCATAGTGCCTGAAACATAGTAAGTGTTCAGTTAATGAAAGCCATTGTTAATTTTTAAATTACGGTTGTGTCCGTACTGTTGGCACTGGGAGATCTCTTGTGCTTAGCCACGTAAAATGTGTAGACAACGCTTTTTAGGCTGTGAGGTAGAGAGAGATATGAGGGAACAGGCAGTTTGTTGTTTTTTTCCTAATGCCTCTGCTGCATTCCCTAGCCTCCGTTTCTGCTTTCAGTTCCTCTAAAGCTCTTACTCCATTTCTAGCCTGATGCCATCGTTGCTGACAACAATGAAGAACACCAGCGAGCTGGTCTCCAGCGAGGTCTACCTGCTCAGTGCCTTGGCCACCCTGCAGAAGGTTGTGGAGACTCTCCCGCACTTCATCAGCCCCTACCTGGAAGGCATTCTCTCCCAGGTGAGCCACGATGACCGCGACACGCTACACGGGGTGGCTGGGGCAAGTAAAAGATCACAGATTTCGTGATTGTTTTTTCTTTAAGGGTTAGTTTCTGTTTGACAGAAAGGAGTCTTATTTCTAAAGAGATGTGCTTGCTTTTATTAAATGTGGATTTTTTTCTCTTCCATCCTCCTTGCCGCTTAATCTTGAAATTGATATGGGGGTCACTTTTTAGTGAGGCGCTTCTCTTCTTTAATTGTGCGGAACGTATTCTGGTTTTTTTTCTCTTCTGTGAGATATTTGGAGTTGGGCTGATAGAGCCGCCTTTTATTACTTGTGGAAATTTGTGGGCCCTGTTTCTACTGTGAGAGGTTTAATCCGAAGGCATCTTGCAAAGCAGAATTTTTGTATTGCAGGTCAGCAGTTTCCTGTCAGCACGCTAGGGGCCAGTGGTATTTCTGATTGAAAATGCTCAAGAATGTTGAGCCCTGGCTGTTCCATTGTGTTGATCGTTTGCCATTTACAAGGTTAGGAGCCTTCATTACCACGGGCAAATGATTAAACCGGTTCATATACACCACAGCCAGGGCTTACAAGTAACCTTCTCCGCCTGTGCTCTGAGGAGCTTTCTTGGTTTTTTAGCAACTTGACTCTTGCCATGGTCTCTTGCATTCCTGTCCTCTAAGAAAATCATCTGTCTGGGTGCTCTGCGTGCGTCTGCCTCTACCACTGGCCTTTGTCCCTGATCGCAAGCTGGGCAAGAGGTGTCTGCCCAGTTTTATCCACTGACGTTTAGGGCTGGCTTTAAAAGGAACACTGAGTGTAGTTAAAAGGTGCTAAGCATTTTCCAAACACTAGTGCGTCATCATGAAGCCTTTCTCTAAGTGTATGTTTGTCAGCAAGGATCTGCAATGGCCCTGATCACTTTTTTAATATTCCTGTAGGTGATTCACTTGGAGAAAATCACTAGTGAAGTGGGTTCTGCCTCCTCACAGGCTAATATCCGTCTCACATCTCTGAAAAAGACACTGGCTACCACACTCGCACCCCGAGTCCTGTTGCCCGCCATCAGAAAAACTTACAAGCAGGTTGAGAAGAACTGGAAGGTTAGATCATATTGGGTATTAAGACTTTGGAGAAGGGAGAGGTGGTACTGAAATGTGTAAACTTTGACTTAAAGAAGAATATGTTTATTTAATTTTGAAAAATGCACATTGCTGAACTCTAGGAATCATTTGAAAATGGCACATCTCTTTACTGTGTTATTGGTAGAATCATATGGGTCCGTTTATGAGCATCTTGCAAGAGCATATTGGGGTGATGAAGAAGGAAGAGGTCACCTCCCATCAGTCTCAGCTAACCGCCTTTTTCCTGGAGGCCCTGGACTTCCGAGCCCAGCACTCTGAGGTAAGCTCAGGTTCACTCCTCCAAATCCTAAAGTTGTTACCCACCTGTTGAAGAGTCCAAGGACAATCTGTCTAGCTGTGTAACAGTGGTACTTGCCAACATAATTTACAGTTAGATATCAGCACTCTAATAAATGGGCTCTTCTGTTTTCAGAACGATCTGGAGGAAGTTGGAAGAACAGAAAATTGTATCATTGACTGTCTAGTAGCCATGGTTGTCAAGCTTTCCGAGGTCACATTCCGACCCCTGTTCTTCAAGGTGATGCTTTCTTCCTCTTCCACCCTTTTGTGCTCAGATTTAAGTGACAAGATGTTGAAGAAACTAATACTATCTTATCCTTTTAGCTGTTTGATTGGGCTAAAACAGAAGATGCCCCAAAGGACAGGTTGTTGACATTTTACAACTTGGCAGATTGCATTGCTGAAAAGCTGAAAGGGCTTTTTACGCTGTTTGCCGGCCACTTAGTGAAGCCTTTTGCTGACACCTTGAACCAGGTGAACATCTCCAAAACAGGTGGGTAGTTGCTTCAGTTCAGTTGTCGCTCTGTGTGCCTTATACAAGGTACCAGTAAGACACAACCTAGTGCTTGGAGACAAGATTTTAAAAGTTCTTAAGTTCTAAGCTGAGGAGGGTGAATTTTTTACTTCATTGTTGTCAGACAGTGAAGTGTTGTTTTAGCATGATGAACAAATGTTATATGTCAGCTTACTTGAGAGAAAGGATAAAGTAAATGGCCATCGCTGTCAGTTACTGGAAGTAACTTTAAAACATAAAAATTAAGATTCGTTTATTCTCTGATGCTAATAAATGACCCACTTGACAGCTGAGGGAATTTAACTTGCCAAACCGAGTGTTAGCATCTTAACTCTAAAAGAAGAAATCATTCTTTGAGAGACCATCCTTTTTGTGTTCTGCCTTCATCCTGATTATGATTTCTAGATCATTTTAGACTCTTCTGATTATGGTTACTTTAATAGTGATTTCAGTGTAAACATTGGAGGTTAAATGGTTAAGTTCAGTGTTTTTTCATTTTTACTCTTCCCACATCTACAGATGAAGCATTTTTTGACTCTGAAAATGACCCTGAAAAGTGCTGCTTGCTGTTGCAGTTTATTTTGAACTGTTTATACAAAATCTTCCTTTTTGATACCCAGCATTTTATAAGTAAAGAGAGAGCAGAAGCCTTGATGATGCCTCTGGTGGATCAGGTAACCGAACAGAACCATCTTTCGTTACTGAGGAAGCCATCGCTGTTCGAGCTTGGAGGTTTTAGATCTGCTCGAATGACAGCTTGTTAGGCTTTTTCCTTTGTAAGGTTGTTTTTTTTTTTTGGTCTTATTAAATGAAATTTTTTATTTGAAAATTGTTTTTTCAAAGATATAACTTCATTGTGGAATTTGAGTATTTTGTTTTGTTGTTTTGTTTTTTTGAGACAGGACAGGGTATTGCTCTGTCACCCAGACTGGAGTGCAGTATGCAATCTCAGCTCACTGCACCTCCACCTCCCGGGTTCAAGCAATTCTTGTGCTTCAGCCTCCTGAATGGCTGAGATTACAGGCGCCTGCCTCCATACCTGGCTAATTTTTGTATTTTTAGTAGGGATGGGGTTTTGCCGTGTTGGCCAGGCTGGTCTCGAACTCCTGACCTCAAGTGATCTGCCCACCTTGGCCTCCCAGAGTGCTGGGATTACAGGCGTGAACCACCGTGCCTGGCCCTGAGTTGTTTTTTGGGTTTTTTGTTTGTTTGTTTAACTGCTCAAAAGAAAGACATGATACAAGGTGTCATGGTTAATGTATTCATTTGTTTTAACTGGGCCTCATTGAGAACATGTCAGAGCATGGCTGCCCTCTGGAGGAAAGAGCTCCTCCAGGGTGTTCTGCTGGAGAGAAAGGGGCGACGGTAAAGGGCATAAAACTCCATTTGAGTTCCAGAAGGCAATACATTTGCCCTAGATGGTATTAGAATAGTGCCTGGTTTTTGAACCTGCTCTATCATGAAAGATAGTAAAATATGTGTATGTTGGGTATTTTTTCAAACAGAAGAAAGAAATGAGACCTGTTGTTCAAAGTCTTTGTGTCTTCATAGCTGGAAAACAGGCTTGGGGGAGAAGAGAAATTCCAGGAACGGGTGACAAAGCAGCTGATACCGTGCATCGCGCAGTTTTCGGTGGCCATGGCGGATGACTCTCTTTGGAAACCACTGAACTACCAGATTCTGCTAAAGACCAGAGATGCCTCGCCTAAGGTTAGGAACTGGGTGACAAGTACTGACACTGCATCTTTTCACTGTATGGCCTAAACAGCCTGCAGGTGGTCACAGATGCAGGCCCCTGGTAAACCGGCAGGGAAGAACATTGCTATTTGTCGTCCAGTACTAGAGGTCCGGTCTTTTGTATTAGGCAGAAATTTGTGCCTAAGAAAATTTTGGTTTTTACTTACAGGCTATTTGTAAAGAATAGCAATGCCCTTATCCCCACCCCAATGGTGCATTGGGCAGAAGTACTAAAATACTTTCTAAATACTTTTAAATAACAAAGACTTGAAGTAATTCCTTGTTTTTTAAGTGCCATTGAAATGTCATTGTGCTCCAGAGAGAGATGCATTGAATTTGTCCACAGAATAGTCTTTTGAGTTAGCGCAATACCTTCTGTTGTTTATAGATACTAAGTTTATGATCTTGTTGAGTAAGTGGTGGCAGTGGAAATAAAACATGGGTGGGTAGGTTGAGTGTAAGTCAAAATTCCACACCCAAGTGTCACAAATTTCAAACTTTTCGCAATAAGTCGCCATTTCTCAAACTAATGACTGTATTAGAACCTTACTGGATATAACAGCCCAAAGCCGAATTTTATTAAGAAGATTTATTAGTTCAAATTCTTTATTAGGATATGCTAACAATGAGACTGTTTTCATGAACCCCCACATTTTAAACCATAGGTTTTTATACAAGTAGCAGTGTCAAATTTATTGTAATATTTTACTTTGATTGCACAAATCAAGGAAATCCTGATTGAATCTAGGTAGTTACAACTGGTTTTTTAATAATTCACTTTGTACTATCCAGATATTCTTTAAAATATCCAAAATTAGATGACCAGTAGGGCTTTTGTTTCAAAAGCTAACAATACCCAACTACTGCTTGCTTTCCTTATCATAGACAAGGCATGTGAGGAACACCCAGACATTTTTAAAGCCCCAAAACTAGGGTATCGTGACACAGAATGTTTTTTATTCAGTGCTGAGATGGGCACTTTCCCCAAGCGAGTGTCCTGGCCCCTCATACAACTATGGTGGTGACCACAGTCAGGGGCTGTGGGTGGGGAGACCCACCAGAGGCAGCTAGAGGCACTGTATTGGCAGCCTGGTGGGCTGGCGAGCTCCAGTGAAATAAAATTTGCAACAGACTTGAGTTTGCATGAGGCATTTTATTTTATTGGTTTTTTTTTTTTCAAAGGAAGAGATTATAAAAAGACATTTCACATTAAAGATTTGCAGTCGTGGGACACGGTTTGGAAAACACTGATTTATAAGGTTATGCATATTACAAATAGCTCCCAAATGGTTAAACTGGTATTCTAAGATGAAAGCTGAATGAGGTGAATAAATGCATGTGAACTAATGTTTAGTTTAGAAAGTTAGAGCTTGTCTCAAGTCAGTGCAGCTCTTAAGATAATACAGTAACACTACCTTTTATTTCTTTGCTCTTTTATCCCTTTCAGGTTCGATTTGCTGCTTTGATTACTGTGTTAGCACTGGCTGAAAAACTAAAGGAGAATTATATTGTCTTGCTACCAGAATCCATTCCTTTCTTAGCAGAGTTGATGGAAGGTAATTCCCAAACTATTCCCAACTATTAAACAATTAAGGAATAATTCAGTAAAATTCTGTGAAAATGTGCCCAATGATAATGCAGATTTGGATATAACATGACTAGCAGTTGATCCAGTCCTCATACAGGCGGCTCCAGTCTCAAATACAGGCAGGCTCGAGCTCCTGTTTTGAGTTGGGTGGAGGGAGCGAGTTGTGAAGTGACCACCTCGTGATCATTTGAGAGTTCGTTTACAGTGTGATCTTCACTGTCTTTACTTTTGTGGTGTTTTTTGATCATACAAGCAGATTACAGTAGTGTTTTTAATTAACCTCATACATTTATATGATTGAAGTTTTGGTCTCCAGATGGGAGGTTGTTTAATGGAAAGGCCTAGTGGCATTAAGGATGCAGTAGGATGTCCACTTTTAGTAGCAAGCGACTTTCCTTCACTACTCCATGTTAGGTGCTTTACATGGATTATTTCACTTAAAAATCACGTTTTATCTCTGTTTTACAAAGGAAGAAACTAGAGGCTTAAATGGTTTCAATTATTTGACAAAGATCACAAGCTCGTGAGTGTGACATGGGGAGCTATGACAGTTCTAGAACATAGCCTTAGGCCCAGGAAATACCAGTAAATGTTATTAAGGGAGGGGTGGTGGAACAAGTAGATCAGTACTGAACTGATTCACTGCTTATCTAAGCTAAAAAAGTACATTCTCCTTTGTTTCTTAGCTCCTGGAGGGGGGAAGTGTGAGCTACTAAAGGGGTGGCATCCCTAGGAAGTTTGAGTTTTTGGGGTTCTTATTCAGCTTCCAGGGCAAGCCTGTGGGCAGGGAATGAAGGCAGAAGGAGCAGTGTGGAGGGAGGGGGTCCGTGGCGCCCCCTGCTTTGTTAATGTGCTTCATTTCACTCGATTGAACGATTGCCAGAGAATGCAAGACATTAAGATTCAACTAATGAGAACTGAGGCAGGCGGACGGACTCAGATTTTAATTTTGATGTTTTTTTTTTTTTAGATGAATGTGAAGAAGTAGAACATCAGTGCCAAAAGACTATTCAGCAACTGGAAACTGTCCTGGGAGAGCCGCTCCAGAGCTATTTCTAAGACTTTCTGTGGTGTTTCATACTCTACTCAGAGTTCTGATTTTTCGTATTTTTATTTTTGGGTGTTGGGTGCCATGTTACTTTTGGTGCCTTAATACACCTACGTGGTACTTAACAAATGTTTTATCACTTTACAGAATTCTCACCTGGTTTATGCTGCCGCATAAGCCTCTCCTGCCTGCTGTATAGAGCTGCAGAAAGAGTAAATGACATGGAATTTTTATACAGACTGACGTGTGTGTTTAAACATTTAGTATTCTCTTCCTGATTGATGGTGGTAATATCAGACCTGTTTACTTTTAGCACCCAAAGCAGACGCCTCATTTGTACTGTAAGCCTTGACTCTTGTGTACAGCAGTGTCTTATATACACGGTATCTGTGTTGCAGATTTCACTCCAAGTTGCTCTCTACTTCAAGAAAATGAAGTTATTTAGCAATCAACAGAAATACTTTTGACCATAAAGCCTACTTTTCATTTTGGGTAGGCGAACTTCAGCCTTCATTTCTTGTGCCTATAAAGAGAAGTGGTTCTGGAATGCTTTTTTTTTTTTTAACCCAGAAGTGTGACTGTCACCTTTATCCTTTATTCTTCTGGGAAACAGGGGAGATGGAGGCAATAATACGCTGCTTCTAAAGCAGCTCACACCTGGCTGCTCACACAGAGGGCCCAGAAACACTGGGTGGCACGAGGAAGCTCCTCCCGGATTAAGAATGAACCCAATTCCATCGGTGGTTAATTAAGAATTACTTGTCTAAGACAGTAAGTATCAGTAGATTTTTTTCAGTGCTTTCAAGTGCCCTAATCTCTAGTACTGGGTCATGGTGAAGTTGGAAAGTGAGGGCTCAAATGAAATTAAATCTGCCCCCTTTTTAAAGGCATCAAGAACAATCCCATAGAATGTTCGCATTGAGTTTAAAAGCCTTTGAAACTAATATAGAAGTTTAATGCAGAAATGTGGCAAGCAAAAGGTCAACTTGCAGTTTAGAGACAGAGCTTGCTTGTATAGAATTGCATATTTCTAAGAAATGTCTCAATAAAATTCATTAATAAATACTAATAGCTTTTTAAATTTTTTACTCCATATAAAATGAAAATGAACTTAAGACTTATAAGGAATGATGTGAGTGGGCTATTTTTTTCCCAAATGCCTCACAGTCTCCAAAGCTCAGTTAAGCACCTTGATGGTCTTTAAGAAGAAAAATAACTGGAGGATTCTGGAGTCTTCTTGCCTTCTACAGCTTTCCCTGTGGCACCCCCCACCCCCAACCAGTGTCTTTGAGCTTGGTGAGACTCTGCATAAATTAACATGAAAAGCTGAAAAAGAATTAAGGGCTAGCAATTTCTACACTGAGTACTTTTTAAAAGATAAGATTGACAATGGCATTCTTTTCAATATATGGATAGAAATAATATCTAACTGAAATCTGTTCTGAAAATATTCCTAAATCCTGGCAGAGTTCTGCCCCAGTTTAATGTGATAAAATGATCCTCACTGAGCGAGCTTTTTTCCTTCCCAACTCCCAAACCTTTGAAATTTCCTGAAACAAGATCTGACCTGTAAAGATCCCATATACATGGAACTTCTGCCAACTCCCCTCAAATAATAGAAAAATTACAGAAATGCAACAATTTAACTTGCTGATACAGGTTTGATTTTAATCACTTAAAGCAGAAGAGTGCTTTGATCTCAGTTGCTAATGATGATGGACTAATCTTAAGAACAGAGGCCTTGAGTGGTGATTTGCATGGGAACAAAACAGATGTTTGCATTACCTCTGCCTGCTTGGTGGGTCTCTTAGTTGGTGTACACTTTCTGATACTGCCTGCCTTATGACTCCCTGAAGTCTAATCCTGACCTTACTTTGTTGCCCATAAATACCTTTCAAATTGAATGCATCTTGCCTCTTCCTTAAGCTTTCTGTAGGAGTCTGTAGACTCGGATTCGCCCTAAGTTCAAATACACAGAAATCAGCTGTCTTGGGCTTGGCATCAGGTTAATTTCAGCACCATTTCCTTGTTCTGCTTTGGTTTTTTTGCCTTAATTTCTGTGCTGTGCTCAGATGTCGTGCTAATTATTTGGTAAAGCTTGCAGCTAATAGAGCCACATGTTTATTGTGATAAAGAAAATGATGTGATAAAGAAAATGATGTAAGTCAACATCAGTCCTCCCAGTGATGGGATATGATAGCGCACTGGTTATGAGCGTGATCACCGGGGAAGGAGGTGTGTCTTCGATAAATTAGTGTCTTCGGGTGATTTAACGGCTGCATAACTAATCCCAGAGGACCCCTTAGAGTTGATGTAATACCTGTAGAAAAAGCAGTGCACAGCGATAGAGCACAGAAGAGTCGAAGCTCAAGAGAACAGGGAACATACTGGTCTGTTTGACCACTAAGTGTATATGCCAGCTCCTTGCACAGTTTTGCCAAAAAAAAATCTGTGCTCAATACATGTTAGCTACTGTATTCTAGTAGGTACTCCATAAATACTTGTTGAATGGGATTCTTGAAGAGTCAGCCAAAGTAGGAGAGACGGCAGAGTGGCTTTAACTGGTTGTAAGTGTTGCTGCCCCCAGTTTCCCCATTCAGTGCTAGACACTGCCATACTTCATGGCAAGGACTGAGAACACCCAGCAGGACTGAAGGGCACACAAGCTCATTTTAACAATATAAACAATAGAATGACAGTGAGATGCGATTTGGCAAGGCCAGTATCATAGAAGCCATTCTGTATTTCGGTTTTTGTAGCAGCTGTGCAGGCAGGCTACCAGCTCCTTACTTCCACTAAGTGGATGTCTCCATTAATTTCCAGCGTGTCAATACTGCTGAGCTCTTTAAATCTGTGTTTGTACTCCAGGCTGTGTACGCCATTTACTGCAACCTTGAATTCTCTAACATCACAATAAATTATCATCTGAAAGGAAAGGAAACATGCCATTAGTGGTTCCCCTTAGTTTAAAATTTTGTGTGTGTTACACACTAACAGGGTGTCAGAATAAACCATTTGATTTCTTTATACGTAGAAAAGTCCTAGCCTGCTGCTGCTGACTTCCTTCTGTGACTTCCAAGACCCTAATCTAACGAAAGTGTCCCTGGTGGTGGCACTGTCTGCCTCATCCCACCCAGGGAAGTGACCTGGATGTGTCTGGAGCCTCACACCATCCCCAGGGCCTGCGGCCTTCCTTTCCTCAACAGCCCCTCTCCCTCGGCCGCATCCTGCCCCTTGCTCCTGGAAAGCTGGAGTGCTGCCCCTCCTCACTGATGCTGGGGACTCTCCTAAAGCAGGAAAACTCCTAATGTGGTCGCTCTAGTTCACTGAGATGCTGTTTCCAGCTAGTAGCCTGGAACCAAGGGACTTGGATCCTGTCGTTTCTGCCTCAAACGCTAGGATCGTGAACAAGCCAGACAATTAATACGAAATTTCAGCAGCTTAAGGCACTTGCTAGGGTTTTTACAGCTGCTTGGTGATCCTGATTCCATAAGCTCAGCACATCTTAGCCTCAGTGTGTTTGTCCAAAGCCATCAAAGCTGGGTATCCCATGAGTGCGAAGTGCTGTGCATTCCGGTAGATTCATTCAGATTCATCAGCAGTGTCTGCCCTTCACAGTCATCTGTGCCCAAAACTCAAAACAATGAAAAACCAAAAAAACAACCAGCCTTTTACATCACCTTTACACCTCAACTTTACACTGCTGGCGCCACGCTGCTAGTGCCAGGCTGGGTTTCCACGCACACTGAGAAGGCCTCTGGGAGGCCCTGCACTGAGCTCTCCCTGTGCTCCTGGCCCCCCATGAAGGCTTCAGAAGAAGGAGGGGCAGCTCAGCCTTGCTGCCAACCCGGCCCCACCCCCAGAGGCCAGAATGAAGCACAAAACCTGAATCTGCAAAGCGGCAAGTTGAGGGTTTTCGTTCTTTTGACAGGAGCCGTGGAAAGGGCTGCCAAGGAAAATCAGGAGGGAGGAAGTTTCAGCTCAAGTCCTGCACTCTGATAACAGAGCTGGCCAATGAAGCTTCTGTGGCTACAGAGGATTGGGGAAATAGATGTAACCTGAGATTCTGTCCCCACAAGAATGGTGGAAATCCCAGTTCCAACCAGGTAGAAGGGACCCTGGATATATTTAACAAAATCTCAAGAAAACACAAAACACACAGCCTCATGCTATCGCTCAGAAGGAAAACCAAGTTGGCAGCAGAGGGAGTCAATTAGTCACCTGTACTGTATCAGAGCAAGTACAAAGCCAGTGAATTACAAGCAAGTGGCAAAGAAATGACATGCCTCTGGGTGAGCAGACTACTGCAAATGAAAAGAAGGCACATCCTTTGCAAGACCCCCAGCCTAGAAGAAGACAGAACAACAGAATCCCTCACAACCATCTGATGCTGCCGAACAGCTGGGAGGAACATGGATTCCATCCAGAGGAAGAGCCCACGGATGAAATTACAATACTGAATGAGATTGTTTTTAAAACACTGTAGATACAACTAAAGTGTGTTTGAAACAGCAAGAAGATTTAAAATGACAGTGATGGTATAATGGAAAGACCTGAGATAATCTCAGTGCAAGCATAGCTAAAAGGCAAGAGATGGAAGCCCCTGGAAAGGACCGATCAGTACAGAAAATCGTCAACAGTGATCAACATGAGGATAATTACTGTTCCTGAATTAGAAAATTAAATGGAAAAGATGATTGTTCAAAAGCATACAACATCCATCTATTCATTCCTTCAGCCAGCCATGCTTTTCACTGTCTCTGCAAAAAAAAATGGCCTGGAACATGGTTCATCTAATCCTAATGGCACGATTTCAATCACGAAGTTGGAGATAGTTTCATCTTAGTATCTTTCAGCATTACTTGAATGTATCATTATTGTCCTTTTTTATATTAATATAGTAAATCCAAACTTGGGGCCGAGATAGGTCCAAAACAAGTTACATCATTGGTTTCCTGTCACCCACCACAAGGCTCAACTTCCTTCTAGAGCGCTCACCTCTGTTTCCCTCCAGCGAACCCCACGTCACCCTTTACGCCTTGACTCTTGCCAAGCCAGCAACCCTGTGCTGCCCTTCCCACTCTAAGGACTTGTTCAGATCAAGCCCTACATCTAGAAAAGCCAACCTTCAGCCTTCCACATCCTTCCCAGCTTTCTGAATTCCAAACCAATATCCACAATTTCCAGGGAACCCTCCATGATTAGCCCACATCTGTCTACGCTCCACATACCAGGGCGCTGCATTAGACTGGAACTTAGAAATAAATAACGCATGTCACATTGCTATCTATTCCGCCTGATACTCATGCTTTTAGTAACGGGTTTTGATGAGTCCTCAAGAACCCACATGGTCCAGAGGATGTGGCAGTTTAAAATGCTGTGGAATTATAACCTAAACCAATGACCCTAAGTGACTGTGTGAGGCAGTGGCACCTGAGCTGGTGAGTGAGGCTGGCCAACCACCCGGCATCCGCATCGCAAGGAGACGATTCTCTGCTCAGCATCCCAAAAACATATTTTGGGAAAGGTATGTGTTACAATAGTCACCTATTTGGGGACTCGGGACTACATGCCTTTTAGCTCCAAGGGACTGATGTATTTTTCCTTGAATACATACAAACAAGACTAACTCCTTAGGAGAAAGGACTGCCACCTGAAACCATCTACCCTGATGGGAGGTGATGGCCAGTGCAAGCAAGCAGTTTTAGGGTCTCCACGTCCTCATGTCCGCTTCTGCAATTAAATGTGTGACTCCAGTCCTGAGACAAGCTTCCTGGTTACATTCCTATCAATATGGGGCTACACAGGAATTTTAATATGATGACAAATGTCAATTCCAGTGCACATAATTTGACACTCTACTGGCTTTGCTATTTATACTGATTGCCCACATTATAAAATGGGGCAAATTACAATCTCCAAGTAAACAAAAAACATACACGACCTCCACATACTGAGTTAGGACTTGATTTAAATGGACCACTTATCCCACTCCTGCTCCCAGGATGCTTGGTGCTGTCCCATTTTCAAAAACTGTAACCTCACCTCAAAGTACATCCCAGGACTAAATGGGAAAGAGGTAATATTTCTCTCTTCTTCTCCCCAGGACTCCTGAAGAAAAGAATTTCTTATAAATGCTTTAATATTCAGGCGTGGGTTCAAGTGTAGAGCGATATCCTTTGATTTTCCTGCTAGTAGGTCAACATTAAAGCTTTTGAGAAAGGAAAAAAAAACAAAACAACAAACCTTAATTAACCAAGTAGGACAGAGTAGTGGCAGTTTCAGCAATGTTAATGGCCAGGCTTGAACTATGACCCTAACTCTGTGAAACGTGTCCACATGGACATGGGAATGCAGATGAAGTTGAAATTTTAAACTCAGTATTCCACTAATTTGTTAGTTGTAAAATAAAAAAAAAAATTTAAAACCCTTTAAAATGAGTGTTGAGGTTGAGATGTGGCTGGACAGAAATTGAAGGTTTAACACCAGTTAAACCAAATGACTACTTCAGGCCACAGGAGCCTGGGATCCTCTCAAGCAGGTATTCTCTTTTCATCATCTACCCGTGTTCCTTCCTTCCTTGAAAGTATGCCACTTTCTAGGAAATAGCTCTAATTTCAAGCTTTCAGAAGGCTGGACATCTCTGGAAAAAGTTGTTAAAGCAGAAATTTTCTAAATCATATGACAATAGGGGCCCTAAAAAATGTTGCCTGGGCCGGACGCGGTGGCTCACACCTGTAATCCCAGCACTTTGGGAGGCCAAAGTGGGCGGATCACTTGAGGTCAGGCGTTCGAGATCAGCCTGGCCAACATGGTGAAACCCTATCTCTACTAAAAATACAAAAGTTCAAAAACTAGCTGGGCGTGGTGGTGCGCCTGTAATCCCAGGTACTCCAGAGGCTGAGGTAGGAGAATCGCTTGAACACCCAGGGGGCGGAGGTTGTGGTGTGCTGGGATTGCGACACTGCACTCCAGTCTGGATGACACAGTGAGGCTCGATCTCAAAAAAAAAAAAAAAAGAAAAAACAATGTTGCCTGATCTTACGGGGCTGCCCTGGAGTTCTCCAAGGCAAGGGTAGGCCTCGTGGACAAAAATGCTACTCTCTCGTCTGGCCAGAAAAAGGTGACGTCAGAACACTGGGCTTTAGTCTTGGCTCTGCCGCCAACTAGCTGTTAGCAATCTAACCTCCTGCTTGAATCATCTCACCTTGGAAATGAAGATTCTGACACTAGCCCTAATTCTAGCTCATAAGACCGCTCACGGGTGGAAGGCGTAACAGGCACGGAGGTATCTGCACTGTGACTGCTACCCAAGGATACTGACCTTTTGGCATTTGTATTCACTTCTCCTTTAACGACGACAGTTCGTCCAGGGCCCATGGGGGTGTTCAACCTTGCAGCAAATGGCAGGCTCTGAAAAGAAGCCACAGTTAGGACAAAGAGGTCTGCAGAAAGTGATCTCCAGGGAAAACTCGTGTCCAAAGAACACTAGAGAATGTTTCAGAGCCATGACCCTGTAAATCCCAGGAGGGGAGACAGTCTGCCTTGGTCCCAGCTGGGTCCCCTGCAGCAGCACTGTCCCCAGCTCGAGGCACGCACTCACTGATTTATTTTAGACAATGAAATGAGTGACAGGGTGGGACCCGATGCCCTCTGTATGAGTGAAACACCCCAGGAAGGCCCCTGTGCCTGGGGTCTGAGGCAGCACTGTGTTCTGCTTGCAGGGGAAGCAGCCAAGCTGGGAGGCGCTGAGGAAATACACAGGAATGGCTCAGAGGCAGGCCTGGTTGACGCTCGAATCTGTCCAGGGACAGCACACAAATGCAGTGGGGGCTGCTTTGGGCTTCTACTGTGGATACAGGTTACTTGTAACAGCTCATTACAACTTAATTTTTATATAGAGTTAAGAAAATTGGGGGCTCTTCAAACCTTTGACACATAGTTCATAGGTGGTATTTTGGTGCAAGTCAAACTGTGATTGACAGTCGAATCTTTGCTCTTGGTGTAGACAGTTCTGGGTACGATTTTAGAAATGTCTCCTCTATTACTAGGCTGTAGGGAAACAGTTCTACAGTAAGGAATGGAATGAATGAAGCTGCCCTCCAAGGTTTAAACTGTTCATTTTCTATGCAATTTTATAAAATATTCCACATGAAATAACCCAGGCAAAAATACTCACAAGCTGGGGCGTGCCAGACTTTGGAACCTATTGGAAAAGAAACAAAACACAAGAACGTGAGAAGGGGAAGAATTATAGTTTATAATATGAAGCCTTGGTTGTGCTGAGCTGAGCCTGGCCGGAGCCGGGGACGTTCCTGCTCCACTCTGGTGTGACCTCCAGGCAGCTGGTGCTTTATGATGGGATGGGATGGTGTGAAGGGCTACACAGGTTGAGAAGACAGTCTGATATCCCTGTTCATTGAGTCCTTTATCCTCCACCATAAATTAATAATTTTTCATAGAACTATATGAAATTTTTTTTAAGAGATAGGGTCTTATTCTGTCACCCACACTGGGGTGCAGTGGCTCAATCATGGCTCACTGCAGCCTCAACCTCCTGGGCTCAAGTCATCCTCCTACCTCAGCCTCCCAAAGCTGGGATCACTGCCATGCGCCACCATGCCCGGATAATTTAATTTTTTGTAGAGATGGGGTTCTCCCTATGTGGCCCAGGCTGATCTCAAACTCCTAGGCTCAAGCAATCCTCCACCTCAGCCTCCCAAAGTGCTGGGATTACAGGCCTGAGCCACCACATTTACCCAGGACTACATGAACTTCAAACGTGTCTTAGTTGTCCTTTCCAAGGTGCCCCCAGAATGCTGAGATTCTATTCTGTCTGTGAGTTGTGAACGTGCCACTCAGTAAGACCTCACTTTCTCCATTAATAACGGCGTGTTTTTACATTGCAGTTATTCTCCCAGGGGTTGAAGATGCACGTGGAAGTTCATTTGCCAGTGCACTGGCTGATGTTCAATATTCGGAAATACCCCAGAACAGTACTATTCAGCAGTTAAGAGTGAGAGAGTTCTTTTTACATAAGAACAGTGAGTGGCAGTTACATAAACTGACTGGTGAAGCGTCAGCAAAAACTTATTGAGTGCCTGGCACCACAAGTATGGATCTCAATTTTCAAATGATTACTTGCGTTCTAAAAACATAATTTTCAAAAACCCAGCCTTCTTGCCACTTCATTTATATGAGAGCTAAAACAACATTTTTGAACCAGTGGCTCATTAAAAGATTTAGTATTTACCTTTTCTCTACTTATCTCTGTCAGTTCCAGACCAGATGCTTGGGTACTCTGTAAATCCTGAGAAAATAAAGATTAATTTGTAACATCCAGTAGAAAATATTTTCTATATATAATCTGTTTGACATATCAAAAAATTATAAATGGTACTAAAAATATGCTTGAAAACTATGATCCAAAAATACACTTAACACTGGGGTCCTTTCCGGCCCCCATCAGATTGGCAAACATTACACAGAGTAAGAGGTAATGTCAACAAGAAAGGTGGGAAGATGGCAGCTGAGAATGCAAATTGTTTTTATCCTCGTGAAGAAGGGTGAGTTAGTATCTATCAAAATGTTCAATGCAAATACAGTCACGTGTTGCTTAACCAAGGGGGTACATTCTTTTTTTTTTTTTTTTTTTTTTTAGACAGAGTGTCGCTGGAGTACAGTGGCACGATCTTGGCTCACTGCAAGCTCCGCCTCCTGGGCCCACGCCATTCTCCTGCCTCAGCCTCCCGAGTAGCTGGGACTACAGGCACCCGCCACCACGCCCGGCTAAATTTTTGTATTTTTCGTAGAGACGGGGTTTCACCATGTTAGCCAGGATGGTCTCGATCTCCTGACCTCGTGATCCGCCCTCCTTGGCCTCCCAAAGTGCTGGGATTACAGGTGTGAGCCACTGTGCCTGGCCGAAGGGGGTACGTTCTGAGAAATGTGTCCTTAGGTGATTTTTGTCATCGTGCGAACATCACAGAATATTACTTAACAACCTTAGATGGTACTGCCTACTACACACCTAGGCTGTAGGGTGTGGCCTGTTGCTCCTGGACAGTGAATCTGTACAGCATGCACTGTACTGAATTCTGTAGGCAACCAGAGCGGGATAGTAAGTATTTGTGCATATAAACTTACCTAAACATAGAAAAGGTACAGTAAAAATACAGTATGACAAGCTTATGGGACCACTGTTGTATGTGCAGTTCATCATTGAACTGTCCTTATGCAACACATGACTGTGCTCTTTGACTCAGACACTCCCAGTCTAGGAAACTCTCTTATGGAAATAGTCCATTTTACACCCATGCAAAGGCAATAGCCACTACCCAGCTAAAAACAATGTGTGTTTTGCTAAAACCACACGAGATTTGAGATCCTACAGACAATGAAGCGCTGGCTGATAAAAACCCTTCTGCTAGTGTGAATAGTTCACTTCCAAAAAATTAATACTGCAATCAGGGAGAGCCGTCCTTTTTATGTCAATAGAAGTGTTATTTGAAGACTTTTTCTACCATCTCATCAAAAACCATCCTCATAAAAGACCCCAAGCTGTGGCAGGTCACTCACCGAGCTGAATCTAAAACCAATGGAGTGAATATTCACTTTGCCATAAATGCCCAGAGTGTCTATTTTCTCTGTGCCGATCCTGTGGCCATAGAGCAGAGTATGTTTTCCATTTACAGCCACCTAGGAAGATACAGAAGACAACCCCCCCCAAAAAAAGAAGTTAATAAATTAACTTCTTATCCAAATGTTTCCTTGCATCCAATTTTATACCCTTTCCCACAGGTCTCCACACACATCTGACCACACTGTAACCAAAAGCACCCAAAACACTAGCAGTGCTTCTGAACTTCGAGTTCCTGATCTGATTAAGCACCAGGAACTGTCTCTCCCCAGACAAACACGCAGTCACAAATCCAGGTGCGTGTGCCTCTGTGAGCCTCTGCACACATGTGAGACATCTGGGTTCGAAGGTCTCCTGGAAGCCCAGGCACAGGTGCCCTGGAGGTCGTGCACCCAGGTTAAAGATCAAAATCTGTTGACTTTGCTAAATAAAACTAATATGGACAAGTTACTCAACATATTTTTAAGATTCGGTTTTCATATTCTGAAGTAGGAACAATCTCTACCTCAACAGACTACAGTAGCAAGATGACGAGAAAGTAGCTTCCGCAGGTCCTCAGCACTCTACGTTGCTCCTCCTCCCTCCCTCTCAAATGCCAGGTACCAGGTTAGGTTATAGGCAGAAAACGCAAGCAGCATACAATACAGTCTCTGACTCAAGGAGCTTCAAATCCCATTGTGGGGGCAAAATAAACACATCAAGCCAAAGCACAACTGTTAAAAAATGGTTAAAAAGAATGATACAGACACGGCTGGAAAGGCCAGAGAAGGGAGAGGTGAATGGAGTTTGGGAGATTCAGAAAGATTTTTGGGCGGGAGCGGTATCCTAAAGATCAGAAAGGATCTGTGCCAAAGACATGTGGGTCTGTTCTCACACTGGTACAAACCTCTACCCTGGGAAAGCTCCACAGGCCGGAGTGCCAGCCGGTGTAAGAGCCTCTAGGACCAAATTCAACCGTACACATACACGCTAGGTATAAGACACTCCATGAAGCCAGAGATGGAAGTGACATCAAGGATTTCTAGGATCTCCTCTGGATCTAAACTCTCGATCCTACAGAACTATCTTGTGGCAAGACTTGAATTTATAAAACCCTTCTGATTTCTATGCTAGGATTGCCCTTGTTAGCTCTTCGGATGGTGGCGGTTATATTATAACTTACCCTCCCATCATTAACATAATACTGTGTCAATTCAGAACTCAGCCCTGCTAGGAGAAACAGGATCTAATAAAAAGATCTGGTCACAATGGACCATATTTCTGCACGGCAACAACTGGCTGGAGAGTAGTGGTGCCACACCTCACATTTAGGTGCCTTCCTGGTCCTTTTATGGAGAAAAACTACAAAGCCAAACAAACCATGTCTCAGGTGTAGGAAATAGAAGGCCGGGCTCACAAACGTGAAAAGCGCCCCTGTGCAGTCCCGCTCGCTCATGAGGACTCAACCTGGTCCTCTCCAAAACCTACCTGGAATTTGTCCTTCAGCACCATAATCACGATCTCAAAAGACTTCTCTCTTTTGAAAGGCGTGTCATAGGTGATCTCTTCCCGTCCCCATTTTTCTTTTATCAAAGTATTGCAAACAATGCAGCCGGCCCTTTTGAAACGAGGATTGAAATGAAAGGCCACGTCGGCGCGAGGTTTCACGCTGCTGCCATACTGCAGATCCACCTGGAATCTATGAGGGAAGACACAGGGGCCCCAAGAGTGCTCAGAAAGGAAAGCTCCCGTGAACGGCCCAGCAGGCACTACACTCCAGGCCCAGTGACCGGACTGAGGATCCCTCCTCGTTCATTCACTATGAGGCCGAAAGAGCTGGCTGCCTAATCTTCTTCTCTGTCTTCCTCAGTAACACAGCCCCCGAGTTTGAAATGGGTCTGAATCTGCCCAGAATAAAAACCTACCTTTCCCAGCCTTCCTTGCAGCTAGGCCTGCCTGTGCAGCTAAAGCTCTGCTGATAAGATGGAAGTGAAGGGCTCCGGGAAGACTACTGGAAACTGCCTTCAAAGTCAGCAAGCACTTGCCTTTTGTTCATCTCTGCTTCCCCGCAAACACCATGTGCACCCATCCAGCTACCCAAAGCACAGAGGTGAGGGCTGGAAATCTAGCTGCCAAGGATAACGGGAAAAGGGACCTCACCTCACCCTCAAGATAGCAGAGTGGTGAGCTGGAAGGAGTCTCCTTCTCTAACGACTTGAAGGAGTTGACTGAAAGGCCTGGGCTGTCTCCTTGAGACTTAATTTTCACATCTCACTTAAACCACTGCTCTTCAGGTGTTAGGTACACAGAGCCAAGCCCAACACTAACGATACCACAGCTTGCATCCAAAGCAAGTATTCAGTAAAAACATCTGAACTGGATCTTCTGTGATGCTGTGGGAATGTCAGACTACAACTAGACTATCCCTGTCATCTGACCACAATTCCTTTCTTTAATGACATACCTAATTCTTTTTTTCTTTTTCTTTTTTTTTTTTGTCACCCAGTCTGGAGTGCAGTGGCTTGATCACAGCTCACTGCAACCTCAAACTCCTGGGATCAAGTGATCCTCCTACCTCAGCCCCCTGAGTAGCTGGAACTACAGGCGCACACCACTATGCCCAGTTAATTTTTTTTTTAAATTTTTTTTTTTTAACAGATGGGAGGGTCTCACTATGTTGCCCAGGCTGGTCTCAAACTCCTGGCCTCTAACAGTCCTCCCGCCTTGGCCTCCCAAAGTGCTGGAAAAGCATGTGTAAGTCACCACATCCAGCTGATAGTTCTAATTTTTTATACTGAAATCAGACTTACAGCAATGAAATAAATCCCAATAACCTTTATTTAGTCATTCATTCCACGCTCCTCAGCACCTTGGCCAGGGATGCTGACGAAAGCAAATTAGGCCTCAAAGTATCAAATGGTCTCTCCCACATTACTCTTTGTTATCGTTCCACAATCACAAAAAGACGGCTTATTCATGCTCCTTCCTTCAGCACAATGATTTTACCTGTCTGCATCACTAGGAACATGCCCACGTATTACAATCAAAGTTCCAGGATCCAACTGATCAGGAATGGTGCCAACATACGGGATTACCTAAGAAAAAAAAATTTAACAAATGTACATTTACATAAACAACATTACTTTCTAAGCAATTACAATCCAAACTCATTATTGATAGAGAAAAACTACGTTTTTTAAGGCTGCACATAAATCTGCTCAGAATCCAGCATTTTCCAAGTCATCTTTCCTATTCAAACAGCTATAAAAAGGAACCGCATGGCCAGGATATTTGCAATAGCTGCAAACCACTATGTCTCTTTGGAAAGAGACACAAGATATGAAATATTATTCACAGTAGTTTGTATCTGGCTGAGAGTTTGTGAAGCAAAACTTCTGCTTGATATGATAATTATAATAGAAAAAAAAAAAAAACAGTTGTTGCAATGCCATGTCTACTCATTCCTTTTCCCACTGTTCCACTGCTGATCCCAACAGAAAGTTCAAGGCCACACTAGGCCCAAAAGCCAATGCTGATGGAGACGATGACAAGCACTCACTGCCTCTGAAGGAAGCTCCAAGTTAAGCCACACCCCCACACCTGGGATTCCAGGGCCTGCTCTTCTCCGCTGGACTCCCAGACTGCAACCCAGACTGCACTGTGAGAAACCAGAGAACTGCATGATCATGAGGATGAGTGGGTGCCTGTGGGTCTTCAAGA